TGTTGTATGTTAGTGTGTGTGTACGCTGTGCGGATACAAATTTTCGTCGACGATTTTGGGAACACCGATCAACCATTTGAATAGTTCAAAAAACATTCGATTCGTATTGATAATGAGACGTGCTGATTAGTTTTGGCAAAGGCAGGTCTAGCCGTTTCGAAGGTACGGGGCAAAAAGTGCCCCAAAAACGGTAATTCAGTTTTTAAGAGAAGGGAGCGTCCGATTTTAATAATTCAAAATACATTTTACTTGTATTGACAAGGTGAAGAACTGATTAATTTTTTGGAAAGGCAGGTCTAGCGCACTTCGGAGATCTAGTAAAAAAAATGCCATTAGGCGGTCAAAAATATTATTAGACATATGCATATCACAAATTATCAGATATTTTATGGAGATTTTAATAATGTGTTTCAATTTTGTTTACGTTTCTATGGGTTTCGTAACATCGTTTGTCCGTTAGACAGCGACGCGGCGCTTACGCGCTTCGATATTTTATCTCTCGCATCTAAAGCAGTGCGATTGCTTTGAAAAAAAGATTAAATTTCCAAAATATTTCAAAATGAAAAACAAAAAATTTTCTCCAAGTGTTTTTTTTCAAAAAATCTTTTTTTTTCAAAAACTTAAAATTTCTCAAAAATGTTTTCAAAGTTAAAAAAAAAATTAGTCCTTTTTACAAAAATTTAATTTTTGGTACGGGAAGTTCCAGCAATTGGCCTTAAGGCGCGATGCCATACACCATCACTAGTTTATAAGTGATTCATCTCAATAAAATGTGAGAAAATATTCAATTTTTTATATTAATTATATTTCAATATGTTAAGAGCAGGACTACTCTATTGTCAAATATTTTCCTGAAAATTTAATTGAAAGTTTCAAATTTATAGAATTATATTTAACATTATGAAACGTTCTCAGCATATAATTAAAATGACTATAATTTGTATTAAACAAATTGAATTGAAATAAAAAGCTTTGATAATTAATAAGTTTAATATTACTACAAATAAAACAATTCATAAGTAAATTTTGATATATTTGCACTTAATAACAAAGTACTTGCCGAATATGCTATATCTAATGGTGATCACATAACTGCACGATATAACTAAATGGACAAAACAATTTTAAAGCGGCAACTATTGAAATCATAAATTTAATCACTTTATTTTCATTTCATTATTATTATTATGGGTCGTACAACTAGCTAAGTAGTTATTGAATTGTTAACAGATCAATCTACTATATGTCATGAATACAATGCCTTTTGTTTCAATCTTTTAGTGGAAAATAGTTAAAGATGAATCTTTAATTAAATCCATTCCAGGTTCTCAGAGCTGTTCTTTTAATTATATGTTTCGGTTTAAATTACATGTGTATGCATATTGATTGGATACAATTAGTCTACCTACAAATGATCTAAAGGCATTCTAATGTGCATGGTTGTCTTACAAGTCTACAAACATTTTAAAGAATTAATTTTTAATTATATTTAGTCTGATAGAACTGAGTAAAACAATATATCATCCCTCTAAGTACGGTTCTATATAAATTCCATAATGTTACACTCAATTATATCAGACTAAATATAATAAGTTTTTAATTTTCAGTCCTCTAAAATATGTGTACGCTTATGGGAACAAATTTGCTTATATCAATTTATAAACATCGATTACTTATATTAGTCATATTTTAGAGGATTTATATAACTAGTTCTGTACAAAAAATGTTATGAACAACTGAACCCTGTAATACGAATTATTACAATCTCAAAACACTCGTGAAAGCAGAATCTCCAAGTCTACATATATTTTTGGTGAAGTAATAATTAATATTTTATTATAACAAAGCAACAATTTTAAATTATTGACTTTGTGGAAGAATAATACTAGTAATTTCATTTGATTTTTATTTGAAAATTTATGTTGATTTGGAGATTTACAAAAATGTTCTTAAATACAACAAATATCACTTGTATAAACATGTATAACGAGGTGTGTGTGTTATAAATGCACATATTTAAAAGTTTTGAATAATCACAGAGGATGAAACATAAAAAGCATTCTATATTCTAACAAAAATACACAGTGCAAAATTATTTTTATAAAATTCATATTACTGCATTTATGTAAATATATATATATATATATATATATATATATATATATATATATATAGTTTTTATATAGAAATTTGGGAAGCCTCAAAGAGTTCCATTATAAAATTTCATTTCTGTGTGCAATTACTCAACTGCACGGAAACGAGATTGTAATCATTCATTCAGGAAGGCTATTTTTAGAGATTCTTCTCTTAACAAATTTAAATATTCACCTAATTCAGCCAAGGATGCTTCAGACATTCCGCAGCCGTTGCTCTCTTATTTGGATCAAAATCTAACATAGGTTTTAAGAATTCTGCAAATTCTGTGGCCTCTTGCAGACTCCATTCATATTTTTCAGTCAGCACATCGACAAGGCCCCAAGGTTTCAGCCCCGTAATGTGGCGCAGTTCGCACTTTTTATTGAAAACTAAATATGAAAACTTGCCGGATAGTGCAATTTTTCTAGGAATTTCTCCCAGTAATTCTATTATATGTGCTAAGTGATCTTCATCTCGGTTATAGTCCTCACCAGAATGGGGTTCAAATAGATAATCTCCAGTCGCCAACTCGAATGCCATGCAGGCTGTGCTCCAGATATCAGCCGAAGTGTTGTACCCCGCACCTAGAAGCACTTCTAAAGATCTATACTGCCTAGTTTGAATGTCCTCTGTAAAATGCTTATTGACCCAGCAGGCATTTCCTAAATCAGCTATTTTGACTTCAACATCACAAGGCACTAAGGCTGGATCTGGAGGCGGTTCTGTTTTTATAGAATTTGGTCGTTGAACTTCACGTTCTGGACTGTTATTTGAATTATTTTCAGTTGGTTCACCACTTCCCTCTTTTATTCTCACTACTGTGTCGCCCCCTTCACCCGCAGGAGTATTAGAGTCCTCATCAGCAGACTGTTTTTCACCGCCTGCCATTCCATCAGAAGTGGGTGATTCTGATTTTTCTGATTTCGTTGAACATCCATTCACCTGCATTGTTATCGGGTTATTATCACTATCTGGTGTTGCGGTATCTTTGATGCTATCATCATCACCATCAGGAGATCGAACTTCATTAACACTAGTACTAGAATCTTCAGGTGATTGGACATTTGAATTCTCACTACTATCTAAATTACTTATTTCAACCTCACCATTTTCTGATACGCTAGTCCTAAGTTCCTTCATTTCTTCAATCTGTTCCATTTGCTTGCGCAACAGCTCAGATTGACGTTTCGCTTTCTTTTTTAGTTTCTTCTTTTTGTTTTTGCTCATTTTTGTTTTTAAACTTTGCTCCTGAAACTCTTTAGGAGCTGTGCTTATTAAAGACGTAGGTAATTTCAAGCCCTTACTATGTAATTCCGTTGCCTCGCAAGCTAATTTTCTGATATAGTTCTCATCAACACAGACTAGTACATTTTCAGGTTTGATATCTGTGTGTATGATCTTACACTTGGTGTGCAAATAATCCAAACCCTCCAACACTTGTCGAATGATGACTTTGACATTGGCTCGTGGAATACCGCGATAATTAGATTTCAGTATTAACTTGAGCAAGTGATGTCCTAAAACTTCGAATACCATACAAATGTGAGTGCCATTGATGCCACTTATTTAAAATCGTTCAGCAACTGTACAGTCTTATCCCGTTTTGGATCCGTGGGGTCGCTGTCACGAACGGCTTTTAATATTTTGATTTCATCTCTGGCAGTCTCTGTGAAATGAGGCGCTGATTTCACGACTTTAAGAGCTACGAATCTTTTATCCACGAGGTCCCAGCACAGCCAAACCGTTGAAAAGTGTCCCCAGCCCAGTTTGCGTGTGACATGGTACCGGGAGAGGAACAGGTCTCCAATTTTGACGGGATGGTAGCCGCCTTTGCAATAATCCGAAGTGTCTTCCTGCTCCTCTTCTTCCTCGCTCGTGTAGATCTCTTCCTCATCCTCTATCGTTTCGTTAGAGGAGCTATGTGACGGCTCAAACCTGTTATTGTATCTGTTATTTCCCTGATTGTTCTCGTCATTTTTGGCTTTCTTCTTGCCTTGCTTATGACGCTTCTTCTTCGCTTGAATGGCGAGCAGCCGCCTATTAACATCTGATTTGGAACTCATTTAGAATAAATTACGGATTTGAAACAACTAAAAAAACGTAAAACCCAATTAATTCATTGCGATAGCTTTTGTTTGAGTATGGCGGCCGAATAAAAGAACAAAACGAAATCGGTCATAATGGCATGAATGAATAACTTCTCCGTGCCGTCCTTTGCTGTCAAGTCGACCATTCGCGAAATGCTACCAACCGACGGCGGCAATGGCGATCGGAATGCGGCAATTTGAAAATTGCGAAAGCGGCAATTGTGCAATTCGTTTTTATTGACAGTAACGATTTGACGGACTATACGATTGTATATTGTTCGTTTTCCATGACATTTACATTTGAATTAAATTCATTTAGTTAATTTTCACTAAATTCATAATCGCTTTTGTTGGCATTTTGAACTTGTGTCTCCTAGACAATATAATAACAATAATGATATAATATAATGATATAATAATAATAATAAATATAATGTTGTGTCTTGAAATCAAAGATAAATTTAATACTTACATTTGAATTAATATTAAGTGTAAATAGATAATCACATTTAAAATCCATTATATTTTGTTCAAAATTATCAGCTTAAAGTTTTGAATGTACACACAATTATAGTTAAGTTACTCAACTTAGTAATTAATCAATATTCAGTTTAAAAAGTTTGTAAAGACAAATTTATGTAAAAAAAGGAAATTTTATCATATCGATAAATTCGAATGACAGTGACATATTCTACCCGACTGTCGGAACAGATTAGTGACCATTTTCATTGGTTATGTTGGTAGAATCTTGCTGACGACCATTAACTGTCAGTTTTGGAGGGAACAACGGATTTCGTGTTTGACTTTTTTATTTCCCGAAAAAATATATTTTATCATTAGTCTATTGTAAGTTTTAAGTTTAAAATAATTCAACAATGGCTCAGCCATCAATCACATCATATTTTAACACGAGAAAACGTGCTGCAATCGACGATATTAGTAGTGCTAGGAACAAGGTGATGCTTTTGGATAATGACGCTTCACAGGGTGACATTGGCCTTATTGCTAAAGCCATTTTACTAAAAGGTGTAGATACTCAATTCAACGAAAAGATTAAACAGAAGACCATAGAGCCTAAGAGGAATCGTGTTGTTACCAAGTTGGACTTTGATTCTCCGGTTCGTAAGACCCCAGTACGAAGGGTTGCAAATAAAAGCAAAAATGCTACTACACCTAAGCCTCAACCGAAACAGAACTGTATTTTTACACAACTGGGCTCTTTGTCGCCAGTTAAAAAAGCTCAACCTCCTAAAGAAATCATTCTCAAAAAAGCTACTCCTGAAGTTACTAATGCAGCTCCTGCTGTCAAAAAGAGGAATCAATTAAACAAGATAATGCTGTGCCAGCCGAAACAAATCAAAATAAGAAAGATGAAACCAAAGGAACTTTATCTGCACTTAATGCTAAAACTGATATCAAAGATATGTCTTATGCGGAGATTAAAACTAAACTTACAAAAAGTTCTCGATTGGAAGAACTTAAGGCTAGAGTTAACAAACTGAATGAGGGCATGAAAAAATTGGACGAGAAGAAATTACCAAAACTTGAGAAACCAAGCTTGAAAGAGTTCAAAACTATTGACTTGGTAGTAACCACGAGGTGAGCATATAAAATCATATTATTTAATGCATGTTAGGGGTAACATCATTGTAATAGATTAATAAACGTTTAGATAAAGGAAAATATTTTAAAATGGCGCCTCACAGCAATAAGAGTTTGTAAAGATATTGATTTTTATGTAATTAAGCGAGTATTTGTGTTAAATCAAGATTTGCAGTGGCGTTACCTCTTTAGTATGGAAAAAATACTGCATACTTGTCTAAATACGACTCTTTGTACTTTTATATGTTTGAAATAGTATGATTTGTTCCTTTTAAGGCGATATGAAAATCCAAAGGGTAAAGCAATGCTTTATTTGCACTAGATTCAATACATATTTAATATCATCTTTGTTTATTTCCAGTTATTCTTATTAATAAATAAGAAATACATTTACATGTTATACAAAAGCACAGAATATAAAAGTTTTACATGTTTTTCTGTGATTAAATATTGACGAATTTAAATTCTTCACTCCTAATTAATATAAATTCTGGATCATGCAATATAAGTAATTTCTTCAATTGAAATATAATTCATATAAAAATTTAACAAAGGATTTCCTTAATAAAGTAATTTAATCAACAAAAATTCTATTAAGACATGTGATATAAATAATCTTTAATTGAATTATCATTCATATAATTTTACAAAAACTCACTTATTAAAATGATTATTTTTTTAATAAATAAATGGAAATTCTATCAAAACTTGAGTAGATGGATTTTTATTATGAAATATCGGGATTTCTATATTTGCATTCTTTAATTTTAAATTCTTATTAGTTCAGATTTATCAAAGGTTATCATCAGTAAATTCTCGATTGATTTATTTTGAATTCCATAAATATATTATGGAATTAAATTAAGGTTATCATCAGCAAATTCTCGACTGATGTATTTTGAATTCCATGCACAAATATTATGAATAGAATTCTTTCAAATTCTTGTAACAAGAATTTTTTTTGGTATGTTATCTTTACATTTTTGTAGATATCTTTCAAGTAAAGTATTCAGGAATTTTCTAATAATTAAGTCATAGCATACTATATCGTACAAATATTTTAAATATTTTATTTGGAAATTTAACTGCATTTTTAATTGTAATTAATGGTTAAACCTCGGTTCTGGTTGTACATAGTTAAATTAAAATTAATTTAATTGACTGATTAAGAATTATTGTTTGCAAAATTTATAATCTTATAGATTTTGCAGAGACATATTATCTTTTGAAGTCTGATTCAAATAAATAAAAACTCTATTTTATATGTACAAACAGTGGTCAGTAATAACTATATCTAAAATAATAAATCTAATAATTATTGTATATCTAAATAATTTAAATTAAATTACCAATTGCCTTAACTTAGAATTTGAAATTAATTCTATAACATATTTTTAGTGAATTTTGCCAACTAATTACAACTATATTATTCATTTTACAACGCTTTCCAAAAGTAATTTACCTGTATATCTTTTCACTAGCTAATTAAAATTATATAATATATATTCTATCACTGATGAAAACTATTACAGTATTGTTAAAATACTTATAAATTGATATTAATGTACTATAAATATTATTACACAATCGTTTGAACCTATTACACATAGAAATACTTTTATGCTTGCATTTATTTGTCCCCATATAATAAAAAATGCAATCAAGCATAAAAAGTAGATCGTGTTATACTTATTCAATCGATTATTGTTGTTATATGGGCAATCTTATTGGAAATCAATTAGTAGTTCAATAGAGTAAGTCTTTGTGCAAAGTTGAAGATATTTTAATTTAATATTTATATTACTATTGTTGTTAATAATATTGATATTATTATTGTTGTTAATAATATTTGTTAAAATGAGATCGGATTTTATGGACATATTTTATTATTTTGAACTAAGGTAATTTGTTAATATTTTTATTAATGGATATTTTTATATATTTATTTATTTATTTTATGTAAGATAACTGAGTTTTGAACATGATTTTTTTTTCTGAATAATAATTTAATCTGCTATAATTTAATTTAACTATTATTTTAATAATAATTTATTTTGCTTTAAATGTGACTAATAAAAGTAATTCGTATAATTTATTAACATTTCGTAGTAGGGTGAGCTATAGTAATCGCAAAAAAACGAAAATGAAATTTTCTTGCATATTTTCAAGTTTTGAAGATTTTCTGAACATTTTGGCATACCTTAGAAAAATTTGATTTGTTTGTACGTGTGTTCGGATACAATTTTTCGTCGACAATTTCGGAAACACGGTTCAACCGGTTCGAATGATTCAAAAAACATTCGATTCCTATTGATAAGGAGAGACGAGCTGATTAGTTTTTGGCAAAGGCAGGTCCAATCGTTACTGAGATACGAGGCAAAAAGTGCCAAAAATGGTAATTCAGTTTTTGAGAACGGTGCGTCCGATTTTAATAATTCTAAAAAATGAAGAACTGATTAAATTTTTGCGAAGGCAGGTCTGGCAGTTTCTGAGATTCAGAATTTTTTTTCAAAAAATGTCGTTAGGTGGTCGAAAATCAGATATTTTCGACAGAATGAATCAAAGAACTTCTATGAAATCTCAAACTTACAAGAAAGTTCAATAATAACAAAAATAAAAAAATCAGTCTTCAAAAAATTTCTAAGTTTTCCAAAAATACCAGCATTTTCAAAAAAATCAAGTTTAATAAAAAATCATGGTTTTCAAGTCGAGCGATTTTTGCATTTTTTTCAATATTCAAATTTTTCAAATGTTTTCCAAATTTTCGAAAATGTTTAGAAAAATCAAAGTTCTCAGAAAGAATCTAATTTTTTTTTCGAGCTTTTAAAAATTTAAATTACTGCACGGGAAGTTCCAGCAATTTGTCTTAAGTTTATAATTGAATATTATAAACTAACAAAACTTGTATCTATCTCAAAGAGGATCTCATATTTCTTATCTATGCTCATATTCATTCAACGTAGAAACAGGCAGTTCTTCAGAAAAAATTTCTAGTATTTGTCTACTTTAGTAACTTTTATATTATTTTTCTTTTAATATTATAGTAGTGTATTTTCTTACTATTAGTTTTTTATTTTTATCTTACTTTAATCTTATTCTAGATTAACAAAATTTATCTCGAAGAGAATTTCATCAATTCAACGTGGAACATGCAAAGTTTTTAGTTTTTATTGCTGGTATTCAGCTACTTTAGTAATTTTTATACTATTATTATTTCTTTAATTTTGTATTATTTTGCTATTCGTTTTTGTTTTATATTATACCTAATTCTAATAGTCTCTGCTCGCAGTATCTATTATAATCAAATTATAATATTATCCCTTTTTTTTATCAACAATCTGTTTTATCATGCAGGAACATCTTTCTTTTTCTATATATTGTCATTATTAATTTTTGTGTCCTTTACCATTTCAGTCCTCAGAAAGTTCTGACTCCTCCAAGGAAAACCCTATACAGTCCACACAAGGTGCTGCCCAAGTACAACAATGGAGGCTGCGAACAGCTCATGTCGCCCCGAAAGACAGAAGTGGCTCGCAAACTCAATTTATCGAGTCCAGTCAAAGCTGCAATTGCCAACCCGGCTTACCAGAGATACCAGGGTCTGGCCGAAAGTACTACACCCTCGTTGAGTCTGCCACATAATTACAGATGTCTGGCCGAGTTGTTCAGATGTGTTGATGCAGTTTGTGCCATGCTTTATAATAGGAAGGAGACTATCACTTTTAAGAAGCTCAAGCCGGCAGTACAGGTAGGAGAAAGAAATAGTTAACTACGCCAATATATACCTCACAAAAAACAACGCAAATTGAAACAACACAAATTATCTTAATATTTTGCTATTAAGATTATTATAATTGAATATGGACAGATATAAAAACAAATTTTAATGTATGAAGGATACTATGTTCGCCTACTTCATTTTGCGTTGTAGTCAGTTTCCGAAAAGGCGACGCAAAGTGAATTAAGATTTTAAAAGGCATGTAAAGATAGTAAAAACTACTTTTTAAAAATAAAATTGAATGAAGTGAACATTTACGTGAATTCATGTAAAGTTCATCCAAGTTGTACTTTTTAATGTGGATGAAAATCGTTGGTGTTGGAAATTTATTTTTACCCCGAATCGTTTTTTTTATTTGTCTTTTAAATTTCAACTATTTTCAACAGTTTTAGACGATTTCCAACATTTTTGACGAGTTCCAACATTTTTGACGATTTCCAACATTTTTAGACGATTTTCAACATTTTTAGACGATTTGCAGCATTTTTAGACGATCTGCAGCATTTTTAGACGATCTGCAGCATTTTTAGACGATCTGCAGCATTTTTAGACGATCTGCAGCATTTTTAGACGATCTGCAGCATTTTTAGACGATCTGCAGCATTTTTAGACGATCTGCAGCATTTTTAGACGATCTGCAGCATTTTAGACGATTCAGCAATTTGAGACGAGTTTCAACATTTGAGACGAGTTTCGCACCTTTGAGACGAGTTTCGACACTTTGAGACGAGTTTCGACACGACGAGTTTGAGTTTCGACGTTTGAGACGAGTTTCAACGTTTGAGACTTTTTTCAACACTTGAGACGAGTTTCAACACTTGAGACGAGTTTCAACATTTTGAGACGAGTTTCAACACTTTGATACGAGTTTCAACATTTTCAACGTTTGAAGACGGCTTTGACAGAATTTTAGGTTCTTGACAAATTTTCAGTCTTTGACAGACATTTTTAGGCTCTCAAGAATTTTTAGGCTCTTGACGAATTTTAGCTCTCTTGACAAATTTTTAGGCTCTGACAAATTTTAGGCTTTTCACAACATTTTTACTCCTTCAACTTTTCAGGCTTTTCACGACATTTTTAAACCTTGAACATTTTCATACCCTTGACAACATTTTAAGACTTTTTTACAACATTGGCTAAGACTGTCCACGTTCCCGACTACGTTATATATTTCTATTTTTCTTTAGCAAATAGCAAATCTAATAGTAATTTTACTGAGCTTTATAACTCAGGAAGGTTTTAAACATAAGTCTATTACCAAATAAAATTCTTTTCGCCCTCAATTTCTTGAAATACCTAAACCTGATGGTTGATTTATTCCAGGAGATGACAAGAAAGAACTTCACCGAATCCCACTTGGCCCAGATCAAATTCATATACCCCGAAGCATATACGTTTTCCCAAGAAAAAATGCACAACTTTGGTTCCACTTCCAAGCAAGACAAATACGAACTAGTAATAATTCCAAACGTTGGCGACACAAAATCTGTTGAAATCAATGCTGATGATGTTCTGAAGAGCCGTCAAGTTATGAACATGAATCCACAAGTTATGTTGGAACGTCAAAGAACATTATACAATTTATTGTTGAATAAAGTTTTGGATGAACATGAAAAGTATTTATTGAGTTTGGATCCACCAATGAGCATCCCGAAGAATAAGCTAACACGTTGGCATGCCGGTTTCGATATTGAAAACATGCCTGATATTGAAAAGAGTGCTTTACCTCAGCCTCCGAATGTTGAGAAGTTTACATCAGCTAGTGATGTTTTGTTGAAGGCGAGAAATTTGTTTAATTGTAACACACGTATGGAGAAAGCTTTGGAGAGATTAGCTGAAGCCAAGAGTAGAAACATACCTTTAAGTGCTATGAGTTTGAATGATGAAAAAACAACAATAAAAACAGAACCTGTGGAGGTTAAAGTAGAACCGGTGACTGAGCCCGAACAGCCTTTGAATCCGGCTTTGAAGGGTCTTCCTAAATCTTTATTGGAGAAAATACGTGCCAAACAAGCTGCAAAGGCTTTAGAAGCTATGACCAGGTCACCTGCACAAAATGAGAAAGCCCTCAAGTACCAAAGACTACCTGAAATCGCTAGACACACCAGAAATCTTTTTGTAACCGAAAAGAAAAGTGTACTACCTTTGGAAATCGTGTTGAATAAACTTGGTAACAGCTACCGAACAAGCCTTACCCCTACAGAACTCGAACAGCATTTACGTTTGTTGAGTGAATCATTACCCGGTTGGCTTGTATTCCACGATATACGCCAAACCATTTTTATAAAATTATCCAAAAATACTGATATGGCTAAAGTACAAGAACGTTTGGAGGCGCTTGCAGCAAAACATAGTAAATGATCTTGCGTGACTGAATTTTAATTATTTTAAGCTTAATATATAAATAAGATTTTATATTATCATATGACTGTAAACTGGCATTAAAGCTAGTCCTTAAATTATTTTACTGCCATGCAAGTGCAATTAATTATATATTTTTGAGTGTGAATTACATAAAGTAATTTTTAGCTTAGTTTTTTATTGTATTATATGCACCATGTGCATATAGGACGTACATAGTTTGAGAAATAAAATTCCATATGTAATTATAAAAATTTGATTTACATGTTGAGTGTATCCAGATAAAACCATATTTTTAAATTGGCGAAATGCTGCTTGTAGTTTTCGCTGATTTGTGATACTTTTTCTGTAAATGTTGGCCATGTGTACTCGTAGGGCTTTTTAAGACGTATGTATATGTATTCCAAACCTAGATGAAAAGATATTGAAAGATTATTTGAATGGATGTGAAATTGTTATAATAATAACTTGATTTGCAGACTTTTTGCAACATTTGCAGACTTTTGACTACATTTTCAGACTTTTTACAACATTTTCAGACTTATCACCACATTTTCAGACTTTTTACCACATTTTCAGACGTTTTGACTACATTTTCAGACGTTTTATAACATTTTGAGATTTTTGACTACATTTTCAAACTTTTTACATTTCTAGATTTTTGATTACATTTTTAGACTTTCTAATAATCCGATAAAATTATTTTTTATTCATAATTTTATAAATAGTCCATCATATTTATAAAATTGCAATGAAAAAAATTAACTATCTTTTGCATCCAATTTAAAAATTAAATGGCAATTCAGTGAAAATCTAATGCTTTGTCAAGCTGTAACTCTTTTTTTTTATTATTATGCTTAATTTTTATTATATTCTAAATTAATTAATTGATAATTAAGTATATATCCTTAAGTCTATAACATTCTTAATCATTTTTAACTATGAGAGAAGCACGAGGAAAACACCACACAATTTAGGAAAGATTATAAATTTTTCAGAATATTTATATTCAGTTAAATGTATGAAAGGATATAAACTTCAAAAATAATCTATGGTTATCCATGGATTTTTAAACTAAAATTAAAATTTGTGAGCCGATTAAAACTTAATAGAAAATATGGAAAATAATCTATGAGTGTTAGTTCACGAATTTTTAAATATATTGCATTATATTCAGCATTATTATATATTTATATGAGATTATTAATTTTTGGTAAAGAAAGATTTAATATTTTTTAATTTTCATATTAATTTTTTTCCACTGCAATTCATATTTATTTGAGAGCAGTGTGTATTATCCTGTTCTACTTAATATTAATATTATCAAAATCAACTTACGTTCTAATCCTTTTTTCTTTTTCCTCATTTGAATGATGCCTTTGAGTGCCTTTTCGACATCATCTAAATCAAATGTGGTACACAATTCTATTACTTGCAAGTTATAAAAAACTGATTTTTCCCTCCTTGTATTACCCGGAAACAATGAAGACATTCTTAAAATTTCAGGCGGAAGAGACACGTGAAAACAAAGTCTGCCTGTAGGAAAAAATATTCCTGAAAAGATGTCTTTTCACCAAGAGTACGCTTGGTGAGTAGAATTTATATATATATATATATATATATATATATATATTCATATTTAGTTTTATAATGTGATGGATATTTGCAAGTGTTATCATAATAATCTTATGATAAGCAAGGAATAATCTTATGATAACTGCACCATCTAAAATTCTGTTATCATAACATTATTCCTTGCTTGTTTATATGTAAAATACGCCTTATCGCACAGCAAATAGATAGACATTTTCATAATTTTCAATACCAAGAACAAGCATAACTTTGTCAAGCGTTGCCATGACAACGCTATTTTATGAGCTCTGTTATTATATTATATTATTATGAGCTAATATATTATATTTTCAACAAACTTCTATTCTTCTTATTTCTCAGTAAATGATAGACAATTAGGATACAGAAAAAATATATTTAAACTATAGTTTTGGTACAATGTGATTGAACAACAAACATTTTCACTTATTATAATAATCTCATTCACATTTAATTTACATTACATAGTAAGTTGTAAATAAAATGAATGGATCCAAAGTACATATACACATTTGTGAAGAGTGTATAACACATTTGATCTTAAAATTATTAATTACATAGTTTAGACTTTAACTGAAGATCATAAATGAAGGCAGAGCCCAGAATAAATTATTTTATATGATATTTAATTTTTAATTAATTGATTGCTGTCTTTGAAAAAAGAGAATAGTAGGTATTATTATGTTGGCCTATTATGTTGAATAATAGTTTTATTATGTTGGCCTCCCAATTAGGGTCCTGTTCAAAAAAAATCTAATTCATCTATTTCCATGTACATTGGGTCCCTTCATTCCTTCCGAAACAAACAACAGCTTTCATTCAATATTTAATTATGTCCTATGTATAAATACAAAACAAATTTATTCACAGTTGACTTTATCAACACTTAAAATTACGTATTTGTTGACCTGACACTATTGAATAATTTGTCTTTAACCATCTGTGCCATCAAACCATGAATCAATTCTATAGAAGCCTTGCAACAATCTCGTGTAGCCTTTCCTAGTCTATCTTCAGTCCTACGTTCATCAGCATTGGCCCCAATAAAAGAACCCCGACCTAAAGCAGCTTCAGATTGTTCTAATTTTTCTGATAAGTCAAATATTTGACCTGTCGTATACTCTGCGTTTGTTAATAACCCTGAGCTGCTTAAAGTATTTAACCAGTATTTGTTCCATAACGAATCAAGTAGACGTCTGTCTAAGGAGGATTTGAAGTAGCTAACTTCCAAAGCGTAGTATTGTTTACAATGGACACCAAAGTCTTCAATTTTGTTTAAAGGTATTGTCTGGTATTCTGACGGTTCTTCGTTAGCTGGTTTGTAACCTTTTGGATAAGTTCTGAAGGCTCCTAAACAAACTTTACCAGCAGATATTGTTCTGACTGGGTCAATTACTATAGCGACAAAGGGTTCTTGGAAATTCTGGTTCAACATTTGTGTTGATACGTCAATACCTGACAACCAACATCCGTAACCAGGATGTGAATGATACCAGCCAATAGCATTTTCTAATCTACCTACTTCTTTAGCTGCTACAATATAACCAGTCATATACTCGTAAGCCTGAGCTTGTGCATTAACCCGGGTTTCAGTGCCTTCTACTGGTAAAGCAAACGAATCCATTACATACATTGTACTATCTTCTACTTTCCCTAAAAGTAACCCCATAACCTCCAAAGACCCGCCTGATCTGGCATGCATAACCATCTTTAATAGGGCTAAGGCTGATATTCTAATGTCTTTAAAGAAATGGGGGTCTTTTTCCCATGGCTTGGAAGATAATATTTGTTGTTGTTGTTTTGCATCGTATTTGTACAACTCATCAATGCTCGATACCGATTCTACATTATTTTGGAACTCCCAGGTTTTTCGGGCAGTGACTGCTTGAGTATCGGTTTGGCTGCTTGTACTTGCCATAATTTATAAACTAAAGAAGCAAATGAATTTTAAAAATTATGTAAATAATGAGTTTGTTAACGTATGTCAATTATTAGAATTATCAACTTACTTCGAGCTGTCACACCAAGCAAGACTTTTGGTTTCTGAACTGAAGATAGGCACGTTTGTTTTATCAACGGTTGTCAAACTTTTGAAGAAACGTTATTTTTGAATTTGTGCACGGACACGCATTTATATATGCTTCTATCTTTGTAATTCATTGTTGATTTTACACATATTGAAGTTTAATATTTTTAAATTGACTTACCCAAAGTTTTGCCATAAAAAGTTGACACCATTCGTATAAGCAAATCGACCTCCCACTGAATACTGGCATACACATCCGACGGATGATATATGTATAATTCTGCCAAAGGCATAAATTTGCTGAAGAACTGCCTCAAATCTTCGTAAATAGGTCTCATAACTATAAACAGAAATATTTCACCTAAAATAATCATGCCCAGAACTATATAAAATTGAAAATTATTTTACTTATTAACATGGATATTTGTAATCCTTCACATTTTTCAGAAACCTCGCGCCATTTTTTATCCGACACGGTACCTTCGTCTTTGCTAGTGACCATCAGCTAAAAGAATAAAAGAAAATATAATTATTAATGGTTAAAGTGAGTTTATAGATTGTGTGCTAGTATATAATAAATAGACCTCTAAAACAAATTGTTTTTTGTTGCAAGCAATTCTGGAAATCAAATCCATTGCATCTTCTCTTAAACCGACAAAGGAGTAGTTCACCGAAAGTTGCTGTAAGTTTGTAAAGCGGCTGATTACACCTACAAAATACACATATACATTGAAATACAAATAACAAATTTTGTAAACTCAATAAACTTACGTTCTGATGTACGTTTACAATTATTTTACCGTATATGAGTGGACTGAGCTCGCTTTTATAAAAGTCGACCCCCTTGGCCAAAACGTTCCACAAATGAAGTGAAGCCAACATGTCCGAAGCACCTTCCGCGCATCCTGCAATTATTGTGGCAGCCTCGATGAGCGTCAGACGTGCATTGTCCAAACATAAAGATTTAACATAACACCTAAAATTACAATACATTAACTACTATAATCATTGTTTGGCGTTTTTGGCGAACAAATAAACTTTACATTAGCGAAATTAATATCTAGCGGCCATTTTATTTTAGTTACCAACGTCTCTTTCTTGAACTGTCATGCGTGGTGCTCTATAATAACATTTTTAATTTTTAACATCTTGTATAATATTTTTTGATGATGCAAAGATTAATAATTTTCACACTAAGCCGTTTTTCATATTTTCTTAACACAAAATTCACAAAAATGTTTGTGAATGCAAATATTGACTACGGCTAACTTCACACATATGTTTAGTAATAAATGTTGGCATCTGTGTAAACTTACCAGTTATAAAAAGCTGTCAGTCACAACTTGGTGTTTTGCTTTTAAATAATAAACAATAAGTTATTTAGCAAAAATTTTAAATCAGTGCAATATATATGTTCTTCTTACACAACAATATATTGTTATAATATCATAATATCAAAGGCAAAGGCAATATCAAATGTGTATTCGAATCCAAACTGACAGCGTGATAATGGCGTCATATTTTAACCTATGAAACAGTCTTGAGTGGAATTAATAATTTTATAATTTTACTTACTGTGTGGCCAAAAATTTATCCATAAGAACAATGAACGTTCGTCTGGACGCTGCATCGTATCTTCTCAAATCAACCAGCAATTCGGAGAGATTTATTTGGCGGTAGAAAATTACAGGTGCGTCATATATAGTCATCAGCTGAAAATTATTATCACAAATTATTAAATTATTTTATTTTGAATGATTTATCATTTACACGAGTTACCAATTATTGATGGTTATATTTTATAACATAATTATTCAATTAAGACATAATAATTTGAGTACATATAATATTTGTGTACTAACAGTATACTAACCTACAGTTACAGTAAGGATATTAATATAAAACTTTTTTTATAACATTAAATATAATTATAATACAGTAGTACCTCGACATACGATCGTACTCGAGTTCATATATGCATATTTCGTTGAACAACTCTACTTTATCCACCAAAAATAATAGTTTTAGAGCTCAGAAAGCTGCCTATAAATTACTGTAAGGCCCTTAAAGCATTATAAAGTATAATAGTTAACTTTTACTAACAAAGAGTGTGTTCATAATCGCCGCCCTTCGTTTGGCGTCATATTCCCTATCCGGTATCCGGCAGCGTTGCCACCTTCTAACCAGGTAACGTCCCCCTCGAGTTGGATAATTTAGGGCCGGCAAAGGGCACGGATGGAACTCCGAGTGGCAGTGGCCAATTAAGGGCCAATGAGCACGCACTTGCTCGACGCCGGCGGGAGAATCAGACTCTTCAGAACTAAGATACAAAAATTAGTCAAAATTGTAAAGGGAAAAGTAATTTTTGAAACTTGGAAAAAGGGAAAATGAAGGTTTTATAGACCAATGGGGATAAACTCGACTTTTTGGACCATGCACTAATTAAATCGAAACTGTATTGGACTAAATAAATCAATTATATTATTTTTTAAGTCTCAAATACAAAATATAAATATCGTTTTGGGGGCCAATTCTGCGATAACATAGCCGTACATAGCCTATTACATTTTATCCTACTTTCTTGATTCCTAAACCGTGCAGTTGCTGTGCGATCAGGCGTATTTTACATATAAATGAACCTAGAAAGAATGTTATGATAACTGCATATTTGTGATGCGCAACATACGGCTTTATATTTAACATACGCCTGATCGCAAGGCAACTGGCATAACTTTCTCGCAGTACAAAAAAAAATAATAACATAGAGTTGCCATAACAACGCTATGTTATCGTCTGTTTTACCGCAGAATTGGCTCCTGTTTTATGTCTCAGACTTGAATTTATTATTAATAATTACTCACGAATGGCAGCTTGGTAACTGACTGGTCTCGGTTTTACATTCTGATGCATCTTCTGGTTCATAAAAAGGCACCAGATACGAATCTTGACTCGGTATTTCTTGTGGCGGCAAAGTTATAACGTACTTTGGAGGTCCCTCTGGGATGTCTTTAAAATCGAAATATAAATTAATTAATTATTGTTTACAGTTGCGCTTCAATGTTGCGAATGCTTTCTGATATTTAAAAAAAAAGCTCTATGAATGTTGTTAATGATGAGATTTTGCTCATACTTTTTTTGCACCTTAGAATAATTCTTTAGTATCTATTTATTTATCAAGAAAATATTCGAAATTGATAATTAATATTTATCAAATGGTCTTCGACTTTCTACATTTGATTCAGGCGTAGAAATTAAAAAGAACAGAAAAAATTACAGTATACAATACAATATATTGTATATTCACTAAGTTTTCAATCAATATTTAAATATTTTATGACAATTCCTCCAATTTGGGCCTCCAAATTTCTTGGCTTATTTAATTTTTTCAATACATCTTCTATAAATATATAGTAGAAACTAACCATCATAGCATTCATCTATGGAAGTCGATGACCAGTCTGTATCCAAATAACCTGCCTTTTGGCGACAACTACAAGGTCTACTTGACATATTTAATATTATATTGTTATTGTTTAAAATATTCAGTATTATGATCTATCCAAAAATTTTACCCCCCCAAACCAAAAAATTGTCAAGTAAATGACATTAATTTTTCTTATCATTCGTTTGTTTCTAATTGATGACCTAAAAATAGATTTTTAATATTATATAAACTTTCTTGTTCATTTTTGATGAACGATAATAAATTATATATTAATTATTATATCACATTTTAAGGTCTATACTTCAGTAACATATTAATAACAGTCCGTTATGTTGTATTAGAACTTGTTCTTAATTTAATTAAATTTTTGTCAAAAAGTATAGATTACATATTTTAATAAGGAATGAGAATTTTATATAATTTAATTTAAAAACATCTAAAACAGATAAAAAGTAAAATAATGTTAATAAAATAAAACAATGATTGTACAACAAAAATTATATTAAAGCATCATAAAATCTTATGTTTAGAAGATAAATATACATGTATAATGTAATAGTCAGTAAAAGTATCAAAATTATTCTTAAATTTATACATAAATTATTCTAACTTATTTGTATATATATATATATATATATATATATATATATATATATATTATTGTGATGACATGTTGATTAACATCCACACATAGACAATTCATTCACAAGATTACAGTTAACACAATATGTACCATTCAAAAACTTGCTTATAATATTTATCTATCGAATAATTTTTATCAATTAAATGTTCAAACATTAGAAACTGTACTACAGTTCAAGTGTTCCCATTTGAAATTCAGTCATACTGATAAAAATGATTGTAGTCAGACTGAATAAATAAAATTTATAATAATATAAGAATGAATAGCGACATATTATTATGGAATTATACTTTTAAGCACTCCAATTTGTGTTTGAAAATAGTAATGTGTTAAAACTTACACCTTAAAATAATTTTAACTCATGACACTAAAAAACTGAAAACATTTATTCTGAAAAATAAGTTAGCTTTTTAAAAATAAATATAATTGGATTTCCATTAATTTAGACAAAAATTTAACTTAAATTTAATAAAGTAAATATTTATATTTATTATAAATTAAAATATATTTACAATTGCATATATCTGATAAAGGTGTAGCATAATATTTTGATCAATATTATTTATTTATTATTATATTTTATCATAATGTTGTCGCTGATTAAATAAATCATTTTCACATACACACATGCACACACTAGTTAAGTTTATAGTATACTTATAAACAATTAGAAACAATAAAATCCTAATGATCCTTCTTTTTTGGTTTTTTAGGATTTCTGGACCGGCTTTTGGCTTTGCACAATGGACATATTGGGGCATTTCTGTGAATTTGTTGATGGCACGAAAGGCAAGACTTCATTGGCGGAGGCTGCTGTCTGCTTAAGGTAAATAAAAAAAAAATTAATATTTATATATATATATATATATATACATATATCATATATAAAATTCTTCTGTTCGGATGTGTGAGTTGATACTCCTAAACGGTCATTCGGATTTTGATAAATCTTTTTAGAGTTTGTTGAGGAAAATTTTTAAACTTATTCATGCTATATTTTGCTTTACTTTACTAAATTATTTCAATACAAAATAATATTTCTACTAATTGAAAAAATGATTTAGAATTTTATTTCATTTGTTTGGCATTGGATATAAAATGTTTAGCAAATTCATGATCTTGGATTGAACAGTGCCATGTAAACTAGATTTTAAAAATTAATTCACCTGTGATTTTAACTAAAGTAATAATGTTCATTAAATTATTAGTAAGGAAAACTGGTGATTACAGAAAGATGGCACACATCAAGCTTCGAAACATATAGCAATAAATTTTTTTTTTCCTTAAATATATTTTTATTTCGAGGAATGGGCCATTAAATTTTTTTTTTAAATAAGTATATATAAAAAAACTTTGTTTTCAATCAGTATTCTTTGTGATCACTAACAAAACTTAAATTTGTCCAGGCCAAATCAATTATTATTTATAAAGTTTAAAATAAACATTGATGATTTATATTACAAACATTTCTCTACTTGGATAAATTTGATATATCGATTAAATACACAATCATGCAAAAATATATTTAAAGAATGGAAACATATAAATCAAACAATAGAAACACGGTCCATCAGCTTGAATGCATAAGACCGACTATAAACTTAAAAATAAAGTAAATAAAATAAAAACTTGAAAAATCACCTCAAATTCACATTGCAAAAATCAGACCTGAACGTCGGAGCTTGGGACGGCAAAGTAAGTGAACTCGGTTGACCAATTCGTTGCGAAGGAGGCGCATGTTCTCCTGGTGATTTTCCAACCAATCTCATAGCTCCATGAGGGGGCGGAGGCGGTGCCAAAAACGATGGCGGGTGACCGCCTCCGCCGCCACCAGGAGCGCCTCCCAAATGACCAGATGTCACTGTGGCTTCTGGTCGAGCTGGGAGAGATAAAGAGCTGCGGGTACTTGCATAGGATTGCTGCTGTTGCTGCTGCAGCTTGTTGTAGTATGAAGCAAACCGACTGAAAAATTGTAAAGAACTGCCAGATTATGAAATTGAAGTTCAATGAAGGAGAGGAGATATACTTGATTAACATTGTACATCACACTAATGTTTAACAAAATTGCTCTTACTCTGGAGTTATAATGCTGCCTTCTTCTTCGTGTAGTTCTGGAAGTCTATCTAAGCCTAAGTATTCTCTTCGCATGTGGTCTACTTCACTTTTTAAAGGTCTGTAATCTTCATGTAAGCGATTTGCCATACTTACAGACCTAGCCCGACTTTCTTCGGCTTGCTTAATCACAGATTCCATCTAAGAAAATAATAATAGTAAACATAAACATGCTATTGAAGTGTATATTATAATTTACAGTTAGTAAATAATATTTCTCGACTTGAGGAAGAAACTAATGAAATGTCTGGGGCATAGCACAATATGGATCAGAGACATGGACTCTAAGAAACCCGATAAAAACTATCAGGAGAGTTTTGAAATGTGGTGCTGAAAAGATACAGTGAACAGATAAGGTAGCAAAGGAGTGTTGAGAAGGTTGATTGAAGAAAGAACTCTACTCAGCACGACCCAAAAAAGGAAAGGAAACTGGATTGGATCAATTATGCAAACACAATGCTCTTGTGCTATGTAGTGAAAGGTAAAACATTAAAACTGAAAGGATTATGAAGAAAAAGAATGCAGATGCTTAAGAAGAAAATACTTTTAACTAAAATCCAAAGCACAGGATCAGGAAACATGGAAGCAGAAGTTTGTACAGGAAAATGCATAATTTGTATAAGAAAGTGATTAATGGTAATGGGAATGATAAACAAAGAAGGGAAGGAGAATCATTTAACCATTTATTATTATTATTATTATTATTGAATAATATTTACAGCATTTATATCAGCATGAATCTGTCTGAGCTCTTCGACGTGACTCATTTTCTCTTGTAACAATAATTCCATTTCTCTTCGATATTCGGCCAAGCATTTTTCTTCTGCATCACTTGATTCAACTTCTCGAATTATTTTCAATTTAACTTTTTCCAGTTGTAGTGTTTTGTTTCTGAAAAAAAAACGAAGTATAAATAATAAACATTATTGTACCACTACATTGAGACCCATTTATTTATAAATGGAGGAGATTATTTTTTTCATCGAGGATATAAATATTTGAAATTTTTGGTCAAATTGGTAAAATATTTATGTTCTTGTAAATAGAATGCAGGGTAAAAAGATGTTTTGGTTATAGTAATGTATTGAATACAAATTTTAAAATAAAGTACAGAAGATTTGAAATAAATTATTTATAAAAGTCAAATTGTTAAAGTTAGAAACTGACCGTAACAATATTATAATTTTGAAAAAATTAAAGCAAAAAACAGTTGATTTACCTAAGTTGATTTTTTATATGATGGTTAAATAATGATTAAGTTTGTAATAACAAACTTAGAGCAAATCAAGAATCAAGAAAATCAATTTATAACGTTACTTGCATTGAATAAAAATAAATAATACAAAGACCTGACGAATATTTTTATAATTAAATAATAATGCAGTATAAATTTGTAATTATTTAATTTGTAAAAAAAATGTGAAAATGCATAATTGTCAACTGCGTCATATAATGCATCTTCATTTGACATAAAATTTTAAAATTTAAAAAAGACAATTTTCGTCTTAAATAAATTGCTCAACAAAAATTTAACCACTTCTCTACTAAATACATTCCTATAAACATGTTTTTTATAATTCTTTTACTTTAGTACCTTATATCCTTCATCGCTTCTAATTTAGCATAAATCGTCCTTTCTTCAACACTATTCATTTTGTATACAGCAAATGTATCAACAAAAACAACTAACTATTTATTTAACTAAACAACTAATTATTTATTATTATTATTATTTATTTATTTCACAAGTCTATTTTATAACAACTATCATTAATAGTTTTTGCAAAATGTCAAAAGTTCACTCCCATGATTTTTCCACAGAGAGGAAAAAGCTCTCTGAGCTTCAGAAAGTACACAGGCGCCATTTTGTCGAGCTTAATTTAAAGGATTCTTGTAATCCTTGTAAAGAATTTTTTAGTTTGGGTTAAAAGAAATAAACAAATATGTTGTGCGTTATTATAAGTGGCATATCTAACTTTGACTTTGGATAAGGGCAGAGGTTGGAAACTGACGCCATTTTTTTTAATTTGTTAAAAAGTGTATTATAATTTGTATTAGAATACTTATTTTACCTTTTAATAGGCCAGTATGTGGCATTAAAAATTTAATATAATTTAATTATATTGTTCGAAACACAGTTATCAATGAGACATCAAAAAGGTGCACTTTTGCTAAAATTTTGAAGCGCGTTTTGCAGGTTAGGATTTATGTATAAAATGCACAGCAAAAACATAGCATTTTGGCAGTTTGTTACTACCAAAATATTACAAATCTAGAGCCGTAACATAGCATTACCATAACTTTGCTCAATTCTGAAGTTACTCTCTTTGCCAGGGGTCTAATTAATATATTTTTCTAAAATTAAACGTAATAATAACTGCATAATTAAAATATGATAAATCAGAATACACGGGGGTTTACAAATGCTTTTCTAGGGTCAAATTCCAATGAAATACTAGCTGTTAGAAGAAATTTAGAATCAAAAATAGGAAAAAAAATACAAACTAGAATACATCAAGGTATTAAAAATATTCAATTTGATAACAAAGAATATAAAGATAGGATTAATCTTATTATTTTGCATAAAGAATAACATTGTAAATTTGGCGAAAATGTTTTTACATTTGTAATTTAGTTCTGCCCCATTAGTACACGATTCTTCCAATTTCTAATTGTAAACTTTTATTGTTTTTATTTAAATATTTTCAATATTTAGATTTTTTTAAACTATATAAGTTATTACTGCTTTGTTTTCAATTTTATTGTTGTTAATACTTTGTTTTATTTTTGTTTGCTATTTTTCTCATCCTTGATTCGCCTTTTTCCAACCAGCTAGTTTTTCTCAGAATTCGACCCTGGATCAACATTTGTGAACCCCTTTGTTTCTATAAGGCGTAACTTTGCATTTTGATGTCCATTTACAATTTGTTAACCACGTGACTAACTACATAATTTTATTATTTAAATTTTGGTTTAATAATTTATTATATTGATTTAGTCTTTCATTAAACAATGTCTTTAAATTTATGTGTTTTTTTTCCTGTTATATTAACTTCCCGTAGCATAAGTTATAGTAATCGCAAAAAAAACGAAAATGAAAATTTTTATATATCTTTACGTTTCAAAAATTTCTGCACATTTTGGCATACCTTAGAATAAATGGATATATGTGTGTGCGTGTGCGGATACAAATTTTTATCGACGATTTCGGGAACACCGATCAACCGATTTGAATAATTCAAAAAACATTTGATTCGTATTGATAAGGAGACGTGTTAATTAGTTTTTGCGAAAGCAGGTCTAGCCGTTTTGAAGATACGGGGCAAAAAGTACCAAAAATGGTAACTAGGTTTTTAAGAGAATGGGGCGTCCGATTTTAATAATTCAAAAAACGTTTTACATGTATTGAAAGATGAAGAACTGATTAAATATTTGGGAAGGCAGGTTTAGCGGTTATGGACTCTCAATAAGAATAAGTTAAAAGAATGTCATTTTTTGGTCAAAAATGTTTATTGGACATATGTACATAAAATTGTCAGGTATTTTATAGAGATTTTAATAATGTGCACATAGTGTGTGTAATTTTTTTTGGATTCCGTACCAAGATTTTTAATTACGGTCCGGGAAGTTCCAGCAATTTGGCTGAAGGCAGGATGCCATGCACCCCACTAGTTATTTTGACTATTTGACTGCAAGTAAACATTTCAAGATTAATTTTTTTTTATTACGATTTTTTCAAATATCGCGGTTTTCAACCCCTGTCCCAGTTCCGATCGCAGTACCCTCTAGTCGGCCTCTCTCGAACGTTATTTGAGCAGTGCATTTATTTTTCTAGGCGAATTGTCAGTTTCGTGCATTTAATTCGTCCGATTGTGTATGCTTTGATGTTTTTTCTACAGTGGCGTCCTTTCAAAATTATAATTTAGGCAATTAATAAAACGCGTTTGCTTCTTTTTTAACTTGATTTTATAATTAAATAGTTATGATACATTCTAATGTTGTGTATGAAGCATGATCGAAGAACATTGCTCGCACTTGCTTGTTTTTTGTGTATTGCAAAAGTGATTTATGGATAAAACATTATGGAAATTTGGTAAGGAAGGAAAATGAATTATTATATAAATGATACGGTTAAATGTTTTTTTTGTATTTAGAGAAAATGTTTTGTTTGTGATATGCTTGAGTTGATATGTATCACGGTTACCAGATGGGTATAAAAAATAATTTTTTTGCACTGTTAAAATGAATTTACAGGAGAAAATATGTTTAAATGTTTATTTACAAACAGCTGGGTGTAATATAAAGTCATTCACTCAATAAAATTCTTAAAAAAAATTTAAAACCATTGTTAAAATGTCATTGTAACACATTTTTTATTGAAATATTATAATTAAGAATATAAAGAATTTTGATGTGCAACTAAATATGAATTAATTTTATAAGTTTAGATTCGCCCCACTTTTTTTTAAAAGAACATCAACGTTAATATTCTGCTGAAAGTCTTGTTGAAAGCCATTTTTTATATTATTTTAGCAAAATTTCATTAAAACAAAATAATATGCTAATTATTGAAAATTAGCCTTTAAAAGATATTTACGTTTAATTTAAATCGAATCAATATATAAATTAAATATTAAATAGTTGGATATTCAATGATGTTCGTAAATTTATTTGATAATTAGATTAGATAAATAAAAAGTTAATTATTTATTAACTTTTCATAAGGTAAGTTATAGTAATCGTAAACAAACAGTAAGATAATTTAGTTAAAATGTATCAGAAAACTTAATCGACTAAAAAATTTTTTTTTGTCTAAATTCCTGGGAAAACACTATTTTTATATCAGACATATATGACTGACATGGCAATTAATGTTTTAATGCTTAAAATGTATCAACATTAGGAAAAAAATCTAATAAAAAATTCAAATATAGAGAGAGTTCCTCAAACGGCTCAAAGGACTATTAGGGTCTGATTGTTGTTAAAACAAAGAAACAAACTGATATAAATGCGCCTCTCAAATTTTGTCGATTTAGAATAAATTTATTATAATTATTGTTATTAATATACATTTAAAAATATTTACTCAATTCTACATTTATAAAAAATAATTCCCATTGCAAATCTTCAGTATATTTTACTTGATCATATTCACTCTTATATTTATTTTGTTATTTAATTTAACACATTTGAAAAAAATGATAAATTCTTCTAGATTTTTAAAAACATTTATTATAATATTTTAAATAATTAATTAAATAATAAATGCTATTGCTATATTATGCAGTTATTGCTATATTAATAAAATAACATAATAAATATAATGCTGTGATTGCTATATCAAATATAAGGTTACATGTAGATATAAATGAAAAAAAAACGAGCTTTTATATCAATAGTAGTGAAATAGTAAACGTTTTATGTCTAATAAATCTCATAATAAGTCTAAATATCTATAATGATGCCCATCTGCATTATTTTTATATTTCATAATTTTACAAATATTTATTGAAATTTTATCATATTTATTTTCTACGTACATTATTTTTATTTCCATTCCATTCAATTTTTACAACTTCTTTTTTGTGCAGCAATGTTGGAGGCCTATTTTCATTTTTTATAAAACAAACAACATATTTTTTATAAAAAATATGAATAAGAATATTTGTATTCAATAATAATAAATACGCGTATTTTCCACCCAATTTTTTAAGAAACAATTAGCAAAAATGTAAATTAATTGATAACATGTTTGTATGAGTTAAATATAGTAGTCCAATTAATTTTTTAAGCATTGCTATTAAGAATAATTTGTTTATTTATATTTTTTATAACAACAAATACTAATGATACATAATGATATATAATTTTTAATTTCTAATATATTCGTACTCTTAACTCTGTTCATAACAATATTATTTATAATTTGTTATAAATCATGTACTTTCAGCTCAAAATTTTTATTTTCGCATATGTTGCATTGTATATATAAATTATGTACTTTCTATATAATATCAAGGACTTTTACATATAAGTACAAGAATGATACAAAAGTGTGTCACACTAATTAACAAACTCAGTCTTGTTCGGAAACGATATTGCAAACGTTTTTGTCAATTGTTATTAATGTATATAATTTCTTGCTTAGATAACATTATTTGTTTATGATGATTACATGGCATTTTGTGTTTATTTATTTGTTAATCTGCATCAACATGAATTGGCAAAATTTGATGTTTGAAGTTATGAAATTTAGGTAGAGTCTTTGTACCTGTTAATTTCAAATATGAAAAATTGATTATATCACACGAAAATGTCTATTTCATATTTGTGCCTTTCCATGAGCTTGTGGTAAGAGCTTTGGTCTTGTAATCGTAGGTTCTTGGTAGTGATATTTACTTGAAAATGTAGATGTAAGGAAATAGATTAGAAGATTATAAGGAATTAATAATTAAATGCTTATGACCTTATGAGAATAGTTCTGATTGCTGGTCAAAATTTATAAAATATGTAGTTTTTGGTATAGTTTGATAAAAGTAGAAACAAATTTAAGTAACAATTTTGGAAAAGTAGGTGTACTACACTATTATTCACTCTTTTTCTTTTCTTATAACAAATACAAATAACGTTACATTTTTGACCATTTTTAATGAAGTTAAGGGAATGAACAGGAAATGGAAAGTTATTTTTAAACCTTATGAGAATAGTTCAGCAATATTGATTGCTGATATTTACTTGAAAATATATTTTTTTCATCGTCTGGTGTGTTCATAAAATGAAATATGTGTCGTCGTTTGATTCGCGAACGACTCGAGTGTCGTAATCTTATCAACAAGGGGCTTCCGCTCTGTTTATTAATTTAATTTCCGTTTTGTATGTTGTCTTCGAAACACAGAGTAAAAATTTTATAAAATTTTCCGACGTTACTTATCATCATTAATAATAATAATAGGCGTCATATTATCATAAACAAAAAATATTCTAATTAGTTGAGTATAATATTTCTGCCCTCTTCTCGTTTTTCTTCTCATTTTGTTGATCTCGTCTAAATTTTGATTTCGGTGTAAATTCTTTTTTTGTAACTATCGATCTAGCACTACTAAAATATTTATTCTAAATCGAAGTTGTGGCTTCTTTAGTTATATTAGAGATAGAAACTTTACTTTCTTGGTGAAGAAACTTTAATTGGTTTATTGACAAGAACTGTTGTGTTTTAAATAGACTTTGTACAAATGATCTAGAAATTTCAATAAGAAACTATTTATGAATATTATAAATTTATATTTTTATATTCTTTTATTAATTTCTCGTAGGGTAAGTTATAGTAATCGCAAATAATTTTTCTTTGATATCTTTATGTTTTAGAGATTTCTTGGCTTACCTTTAAAAAAATGGATGTGTGTGTATATATGTTTGGAGACATAGTTTTTCGTCCACGATTTTGACAGCACATATCAACCGATTTGAATGATTCAAAAAAAACATTCGATTCCTATTGAAGGGGAGACGTGATGGTTAGCTTTTACAAAGACAGGGCCAGCCGTTTCGGAGATACTAAGTAACAAGTTAAAAAATGCCAGTTTTCGAAAGAAGGGCGCACCGATTAGAATGATTCACAAAACATTCGATTCGTATACATTGAGTGAATAGATCACATTTTTGCGAAAGCAGGTCCAGCGGTTTCGGAGATGAGGCAGGTCCAGCCATTTCGGCGATACGAAAAAAAAGTTAAAAAAACGTCAGTTTTTGAGAGCACGGTGAAACCGATTAGAATGATTCAAAAAACTTCGATTCGTAGGGATTGATTGAATAATTGATTGCATTTTTGCGATAGCAGGTCCAGCGGTTTTGGAGATACGGAGCAAAAGGAATAATTTTTTTTTAAATATACACACTTATGAAAATGTGGAAAATTCAAAAAATGTAAAGTTTTTCTTATTTATAGTTGAATACAATAATTCTAACCTTTTCACTCGCAAATTCTGAGATTTATATGAATTTTGCCGCCGGAGCTGCGGCATCCGAGTGGAAAGGGTTAAACTCAGTTCCAAAATATTTATATAATAAAAATGAGATATTTGTGAGATAAGATTTTTGGATACATTCCGAATGTGATGCATTTCGATTAGGTTTTGTTTATTATGTTTTCGTTCTTTTAGATAAACATAGATAAAGACGAACGATGGCATTTAAAGTATTTATAATAAATATTTGAAAATATTCAAAACAATTGTTAAATAATTATTGATGATTGATTATTTTTATTTTGCAAATATTTTCATCAAAAAATCCAATTCACTAATTTTGTTTCTCGACGTTTCAAGCCATTCTGAATCGAATGAGACCAAATTTGGAAAAATGTGTGTGTGTGTGAACAGATTTTTATATTAAGCAGTAATGCTCGAAAACCTATTTTTATTTGAAGTCATATATTGTGAATAAGTGAAAACTGCTATCAATACCGTTTGATATAAAGTTGCCAAGTTGGGAATAGGAACTGGTGTGGTTTCCAGCTCAATTTCAACTATTTGAAATATGATAGAAATTTTGCTCCAACCTTTAACTTCTCAGTTGGCAACCAATGATCGATTTCCAAATCAAACCAAAATTTCCCTGATAGTAGTTATACCTTTCGTGTTGACACAATTGGTCTTATCTCCTTTAAACCCGTCATGGTGTAATCTTAGCCGTTACCATACCGGTCATATTTTATCATCATATCAAATGGCAAATCATATACAATTGTATAATCTGTCTGTGTACAAATAAAGAGCCCCATTTGATTCATTGAATGATAAAGAAGACTCCTCTATTTTAACCGAACCGAATGAAAACCACTCCATTGTAAGTGGAGCGTCCGTCCAATTTAGTGGAACCGAACAATTTGCATTGTATTCAATAATATAATAACATTTTAAATAATTTTTATCTTTCGCGATTCTATACGAAATCAAATTCTTTTGTGTTTTTATGCTGATGGTAATTTTTATTCAAATAATGTAGATTGGGTGTCGAGGTAAAGGAATGTTTTGTTTGTGAAGAGTTATTCGAGGAATTTCATATCAGTGATAAAGAGATAAATTAAATAGGACTTATTTGGAAGGTATTGTTATATTATAAAAATTATTTTTAGAAAATATCTCAATAATCATTTTTAGTTTAAGGTTCAGTAAAATTATTATCTAGTTACGAAAATGCTGATAAATAGTGAGATATATTGTTAAAACAAAATAATTCTTAAATGTTATAAAATATTTTTTATATATCACCATATTAATTTTTTCAGTCAAATAAAAATATATTTTAGAACAAGGTTGGTCCTTTACTAAAATATAATATTTTTTACAATAAACACAGTATTCTCATGAATTAATTAAAACGAGCCAATATTTTTTCTATTTGTTTGAGATTTTAAATATTATTTTTATCAAATATATTATTTATTGTATTTAAAGAAAGTAATATAACTAATATTTATTTGTATACTAAATATGTAAATATAGTGTAATTAATATTTTGGATGGATACTTCATTTAATATCTAAATTTATTAGGCTAACTAATTTTTATGTTTTTACATCAGACAATTAAAAAATAATGCAACTGAAATAAATGAAAGTTTATATAGAATTTTTAAGTTAAAGTTTTCCAATTTTTTTTTATTGTCATTACATTTTCAACTTTTTTTTAGTTTTAAATTTATTAATACCAAAATATTATCTTTTAGTTGCAAACTGTTTTTGTGTTTCATGTTCATTTTATATTTATTTTCCAATTAATAATATCAATATCAATATAATTAATAAACCACATATCAATAATTTTTGATCAAATAATATAGCTTAAAAGAGTTTTAAATAATTCTAATATATTAAATGATGGATGGAGGTTGAATTAATCATATTATATTAATCTGTGAAGCACATTTCGAAATTAAATCACGTAAAATGATGTAATTATGTAATTAGTCTTATTTATTTTATTGAGAAGGTTATGTAACTTGTCAACAGGAAAAATATCATCTGCAAAATGCACTTTAATATTTTATATTGGTTACACAATAATTCTGTATCAAATATTAAATGCATCAATAATAGGTATAAAATGTCAAATATAATATTTTAATAGTAAAGAAAAAAGATTATAAAAAATCGAAATTAAAATTAATTTATTGACGATCCAAGAAAAACATAAGGTTGATATGTTCGGAAGTAAATGTACAAAAACACACCAATTAAAATCAGAAATATTAATCATCAGATTTGGAATAACTTTTAATTTAATTTATCTCTTGTAAAATTATGACTATGTAGCCGATTATTTCCTGATAGCGATTTAAGACCATGGCTGGTTTGCCTTCTACTTTAAAATAGTATCTATAAAAAATACAATCATTCACTTATTGACGCTGATTTACCTTGTTTCTCGCGGGTCTTTAAGCCCTGCTCTACTCTATTAAAAAAACTAATATTTTAAGGGGTTACATGGGTTACTTCGGGAAAAAAGCGGCCTTTTTTCAATAATTTTTTTTACATAAAGAATGAAATTTGTTAATTTTTTTTTATATAAAAAATACATATTTAATAAACATTTTGTAAAATTTTCAAAAAAAAAAAACAAAATGGCAATTTCCGGCAGTCCCTCGGAAAAAGAGCCTCCACGTTGTCAGCAGAACTTTTTTCAGGATCATCCGAAATAAAAATAAAAATAAAAAATACGTGTTTTAGTAAAGACAATAAACTAGGTATTGGACGAAGTATAAAGAACAAAATGAAAATTGGGTTTTTGGCAGACGTTTTGATAACAAAAAAACAAAAAAAAAATTCTTCGTTCAAGACCTTGTAAATGATATCTCAAAAACCTGAAAATTTCATCAAGATCGGTTGAGTAGTTCGCGAGAAATCTTGACAACCGTCTTTGAAAACAAAGTTTTGAGAAAAAAGTTAAAAGTTTTAAGAGAGCCTAAACCTGACCTCGAGCGTCCATCTTTTCAAATCCGAAACTATTATAGTCGGAGCAACTTGAAAATTTAGTACAATATTCTAGAGATGTTATAGAATTTAATAAGACAAAAAAAAATCGATTTTTTGAAACCGTGAAACCCATGTAACTCCTTAAAGTTATCAAATCTTATTTTATCTTCTTTATCTTTTCAGAGCTGGTGCCGGCGTGCGTCGGACCGCCTCGGCGCCCGCAGCGCCGTCATGCGTAGTGCGGACGAACGCGCGATTTCTCGCAGCGATTCTTTTCCACCAGCCAACGTCCAGAAAACCGGACACGCTGTCTCGCCGAAAAGAAATGCACGCAAAATTACCACAACCACATCACCACACTTCAATTCAACAAACATCTCCAACGAAAAAAGTGCTTTTAGCGACAATCTTTCAATAAAAAACAACTCCACAAATGGATTCTACGACGACCTTAGTAGGCGAGACAGCGGCAAATTCAGTTTTAGCGAACCTCGAGCGACAGTTGTGTGTCTGAACGATGATGATAAGCTGAATTTTGAGAAATCGAGGAAGTTGGGTAATGGTCACTCTGATGATGGATTGAATAGAAAGCAGCGTTGTGGTGCAAAGACACCATGGTGCCATCTGGGACGTCTCGCTTTGGTGGCACTGTGTGTGGCTGCTATTTGCGCAATTGCGCCATCTGCTCATGCAAGACACGCGCAGCAGGCTGAAGCAGCTAAAATCGCGGAGAATGAGACGTCGTCGGCGGCTGTGGATAATAGTGGCCAAATTAGGATAGAAACTGGGTGAGATAAACGACAAAATGATTGCTTTAACGGATTGCATTAAGGGGGTATCGTAGTGTAGAGCAATGAATTTTTGGTCATTTTTAAAGTGTCGTAAAAGAAAGCAATGAATGTTCTTACCATCCATTTTTTACCACTTGTTTATTAATATTATTAAAATACAAAACAAAAATTTAAAAAAAAGTTGAAAATTGAAAAAACAGGCAGCTGATGAAGTGGAGGGTCTCAAAAAATTGGCACCTCAGTCTTGCCATGATTTTAACTCTCCTAGCCATCCGAAATAAAAGAAATAAAAAAATTATTAACCTATAATGATGTCGCAATCGCCCGAACTAGCGATGAGTAAATTTTTTTTTACAAATTGGTAGTCAAAAGTGTCTTTTTTACTGTTTTTTGAGTATCTCGATTTTTTTAAAAATAGTAAAAATTGGAATTTGCGGATGATGCTAGTTCGGGCTACAGATAGGTCTATTAACAAAACTCTCTGAACATTTCAAGTGAATCAGTCGAGTAGAACTCGAGAAATCGTGTCAACAGTACTGAAAAAGTCTGTTCTGAGAAAAACGCATTTGAAGTTTTGCGTGAAGTTTTTTGCGGTCAAAGTCATAAATGATATGTTACTTATTTTATTTAATCTGCCATTCCTGCTTTATGTATCGGACCTTCCTCTACTTCAAAAAAAAAACTATTTTCTGCATTTCTTTCTTCCAATCTTCAGATCGTTCAATCCGGGCGGTGTCTCATCTTACGGCAAATGAATGAGTTTCAGGCCCAATTTGCATTATCATAAGGGTCATCATTTTTAAAATCGGAAAGAAACCTTCATTGAATATGCAAGCAGCAATAAATGTTGCTATTTCAATTACCAGAGATCGGGAATGAATATGCTTCGGCGCGAAAATTCAAATCAACGAGTTTAGAGACTCATTATTGTTCTGAGTTACTGAACCTGAACATCAAAATAATAATTCATTAGACGATAAACTGTCATAAATTGATCTAATGACTTCCTTATGCCTTTTGTCCGATTAGACCCTGCCAAACCGGGTCAGTAAAATGCTTATATCTCCGAAAATAATTCAAATGTTCAAAAATCTTCTCGTATCCGTATTCTTAAATAGTTAAACTTTGAAAAAATGAAACAAAAAAAATCCAATTTTATTGAAATTCTATACTAAAATACCCCCTTAAATGAAAAAAGCCAACATTTTTGCAAAAACTTCTGAATTGATAATTAATAAAAAAATCAATTTTTCTGGGTCATCTTGATCACTATATTTTTCGAGAATTTTATGCAACTTGCCTTAAGGCATATTATACCAATTGACTATTATTTTTCAGTTTAAATCCCGGTCACCATCGAAATGGACATCCAGGTGGTCAACGAAGATCTAAAGAACTAAAGTCTGAAGAAATTCGCCAAAGCATTGAAAGCAGAAGCGGCGAAGTCGTCTCAAACGAAGGTCTGTCTTTAATCGTTTACTAAAACAATTTTAAACTGGATTCTAACTCTTTATTCCTCTAGATGAGGTTGTTGGTCGAGGTCTTGTTTCATCTTCGGCCGCTCTGGACACAAGTGGTTCCACACCAGACGTGGCGAGTGGTGATGCTACAAATTCAGGCGGAGAACTGATTGCTGATGATGTAACCAGGAGAGACGTGACCATAGACGACGTCATCAAGGACGAAGTTAAGCCTTGGTGGAAGTTTGCTTCGACTGCTTGCGATTCTTGGCGACCGCCGCAGCATGTTTACTTTCAGGTGAAGAAGAATAGATCATTAGATGTGCCAGAACAGAATAGTTCTTTTTTTTACTAAGTGTATTAAAATATTTTCTATTTCAGGTAACTTTTCTTCTTTTGGTGCTAGCCAGTTGCGCCCCCGCAAGAGGTTCTCGCGGGTGCTTGTGGTTGAGATTTATGATGATTTCAAGTTCCGTAGCCCTGTCGGCATGGGCGCTGCGAGGTGATGAGTACATGACGTTTCATAAAAGGTAAATTTATATTTAATAATATTGCAAGTGCCAAGAAATAAAATCAACTTGTCATTTACTTCTGCAGCAGTATATTGTCCAAACGTCACCAGGAAACAACGACCAGCAGTCGCCACACTTTACCACTTTCGCATTACCAGCAATCGACGACTCCTGAAGGTTTTCACCACCGCCATCGGGAGGACGGTGATCGATTCGAGTACCAGGGGCGGACGGACAACGGGTAAATATTGATATACCTAATAAATATTCTAAATTGATATTAACATGTTTATTATTTTGCAGACGTCGTCGTGAGCAATCGTGCAGGCCGGACGCTCTGCTGTGGGCCGCTGCTTTGGCCGCAGTCAATGGTGCTCATGTGGCCTTTGCCCTGTGCAGGGCATTAAGGCCGAAGCGTTTTAGTGGTGAATTAGAAGAGGTAAGACTAAGAATATACATCTATATATTTAAAATATTTTTTTTATATTTTACATTTCGAGAACTAAATGTGTCCCATCAATCAGCAGCCAAGAAATAACTATTATGATTTATATTAATACACCTATAGTAATAAAATCTATTTCCTCCGCCTCAACCTTTTACGATTTGTTTTTCCCCGAACACGTGTTCTACGCGCGAGCGGAGTTCCGCCTGAAGGAAAACAAAACAACTCGGAGCGCCCCATTTGCAGCAGGTGCTGCACTGTTTGTTTCTTTTTCGAACTCGGTCGATTTTTAGTAAACATATTTCATCTATTCCAGCAATAAAGAAAGTAAAAACATGAAGGGTCGTACTATTTTGTAGAGGCACTTGTTTATGCAGTTGTAATAAAAAACACATTATTATTTTATAATTACCAATGTTTTGATATAGTAGTTTTGTTTATTATGTATATAAATCTTGTAACATTTATAAGTAATCGTTGTAAAATATAAGTTTTAAGTAATAGAAGTAATTTTAAAGTTGAAGAGGAGCTAAAATATTCCGATGGCTTTTATTACGTTCTTCCGCGAACTTTCAATTGGCGACCCCAATTTGGTGGTTTTAAAAAGCAGAACAAATACAGACATTTTCAGAAATGTAACCAGTATCGCTTATCCCTTATATTTTATCCAGTATAAATTACTGTTAATTACTGCTTTTAGTGGTAATTAAATCTGTCCTTTATAGATGTTGTCTCACAGACACAAACATGGTCTTCCTCTTCCGATTGGGGATACATATTAATTCATTGTGTTCGTCTCGTAGGTGGCTTAATTGAAATACGATATGCTTGAAAACATATGTGACATATGTTGACCTTTTCACAATTAAAGTTCACGACATTTTACAAAGAACAGAGGTCATCATGAGGAAAGATAAATGCATATGCATATGGAATTTTATTTGATCTGAAATCTGAACTCTTGCCAAGATAAAAAATCAATGTTATAGGAAAACCTTTTGCTTTGGCATTGTAACTTCATGTATTGAATAGTAACTTGAATAAGGATATTTTATATTTACATTCTTTTTTATTCATCAGGCTAAAATTTTTGATACTTTATAATTGATGCTTGGATGATAACTCCTTTTCCATCACTTTCAAATATAATTATTAGTAATTTGTATTAATTTCCTTATTTTTCTTTTATTCAGGTATACCAAGCCCTGTTCAAGCCCCTAAAGGTAACAAGACACCAATTCAAAAAAGTTTTAGGCTGCATGAAATTGATCAGGTCGCTCAAATATCAGGAGGTGTACGCTCAGGAGAAGGTCACCAAAGTCGACAGCCTCTCTCTTGTATTATCTGGAAAGTGAGTCCTTTAATTTAAATTCAATTAGCAGAATACATTGACAATCAATTTAAAGTAAAGTTATAACTTTGCACAAGTGTACTTCCTACGATCTCACATTATTAATTACTAATGACGTCTATTTAAAATTTAAAAAAATAATTAATAGTTATTTTCTTAGGTCAAATAATTATTATTAATTTATTTTTATTAATTATTATTTTTGACCAAATGTAGTATTATCAAATATTATGTTACATATGTGACCAAATTTTTTTTTCGTTGATCGTTTTCAGATTGGTCGTATCCCAGAATCAACGCGCCCTGCACATTGTTTTTCCGCACCAGTTCCTGGACTCGCCAGAATGGTTTGGTGTATCGACTGATGAATATTTTCAGGTGAATTAAATCTACTTGTCTTTCCAATATTCTTAATAATATATTGTAAGTTTATCATATACTATTATTATTTCATGTATTAAATTTTTTGTATGGGTATTTATTCAGGTGTCAATAATGTCAATGGAGGAATCTCGAGTATTGATCTGGCATAGAGATAAGTTGAGATTAACTATCATCACGGATCAGTTTCTGCAAGCAGTTTTTGATCATATATTGGGTAGAGATGTTGTCAAAAAACTAATGCAGGTATGGAATAAAACAAATGTTTTAATTTTAATATTTAATATCAAATTACTCATAACTAAGATAAAATTTCATTCATTTTTTTTTAATTCTGTGTCAAATGATCTAGTATGATTAAAAGAAACACTCAATCAATTTTTTTTATTTCTTTCTATTATTTTATTATATTATTTTTATGCATTTTCTGTAGAACTGCCAATCGATGGAAAACTGGCATGCCAGTCAGTCGAGTTCTTCACTCAAGACCAAAACTTCAAAGAAAAGTCACAAAAATGTACGAAAATTTTAGGTTTCATTTTTTTTTCATTTAATTTATTCATGCATACATTGTTTTATTTACTTAAGAACTAGTTATTAATTTATTATCAAATATAACAGGGACCAGAATTTTCTCTGCGACATGGGAGTTTAAGTTTAAAATCTAGACATATTTAAATTATACAATCGAAACTTATTTAAGAAACTACAATTCAATTTGTACAAGTTTTAAATAACTTTAATTTACACAAACTTTTTTTCTAGGTGAGCGAAACCATGGCTGTAAGCAATGGTTATATTCCGAACAATTTTGATGACCAATCCGAAGACAAGCCAATGCTAATTTTAAAGAAAAATGGTGACGGTCACGGTATTACTGCTCTGATCAACAGACAACTACAAGGTTAGTAAAAATATTGAAGAGAATCGTAACTGGAGTGAATTGAAGATTGAGTGTCTGACTGATGGAAAAAGTACATCATCTATGCATTAATGAATGTTGTGAGAAGATTGGATGCTTAAGATGGCTTGTATGATGTAAAATTTACCTAACTAGAAACCAGCTTTTAGTATTGCATAATAATATATTGTTTCGAGACTGTTTGGCATCGTGAAAGCAGTTAATTGAGAATGGATAAGCCTTAGCAAGCTATCTTACAATATGCATAATTGTTCGCTCATTGACCCTACAGAAATAGTAAATGCATTTTTTGTCATGTTTGTATTTTTACTTATATTGATATTTTTTATTAAGTGTTTTATTCGTGTTTTAAAATTATATAATATTTATGTTCTCATTCTTATAAAATTATAAATGCGAGATACCATTATTTGCGTTTTTTTTAGGGAATATTGTTTTTTTTTGTATTAACCAAAGACTTTATTTTGGTCCCAATTTTTGAAGATCAATATTGACACCTATATGAAACATTTTCCACACAACTAACTGATTTTTTAACCCTTTCCTCTCGGCCGTATTAATCCCGGAATTCGCGAGTGGAAAGAGTTAATTTTACATATTATCAATTAAAATAATCGATTTTTTTAATCCTTATTATATTATTTCTAACTTAATTTTGAATTTGAATATAAAAACGGTTTTTCTTATTTTGTGATGCATTTGTCCAGCATGAAGTTATGTGCAGTTTTGATAATGTCCGTTATGTTTTGAATTTAATGTTTGTCTTAAATTTTTGTTGTTATTTTGAAACAAAGTTAGTTCTTAATGAATGATAGTTATAGATATTGATGAAGTAATATAGATCATGAATATCATATATTGATCTTTACAAAAATTGCTGTAAGTAAAATAAATATAATACACAGTCTCAAGTACAAGAATTCTTATTCTAAAAATTCAAGTTGATATATTGATATTTATGTTCTACAATGTGGATGCATTAGTATTACACAATTAATATGCTAACTAATAGTAGATATATTGATAATAATATTGAAACTATAATATTTAGTGTAAGCTTAGACATAATGCTAGCTATAAAATATTATTAGACATGTCTCGTGTCATATGGGAGTTGAAAGACAAATTGTAAGCAAGTTAAAACTAATTAAAACAAAAATTATAAACGTTTTACAATAACGAGTCATTACAAAACTGAATTAAAATGGTGAATATTTTTTATTACTTTTTAACTTTTGACTCTCATATTGTAACCTTAATGCTTGAACATGTGTATGTCTTACTATGATGTGATATGTCTTTGTCCTGTCTTGTTATTTAAGTGCCTTGCCATTATGTCATGTCATGTGTCTGTTATCGTTTTGTTTTCTATTCATCTCCGTCTCGTATTTAGAAGAGCATGCCCCCTTGCTAAGTAGACTTTGTCCAACGAGCCCGCTTGTGAGACTGACTGTGAATCCAAATCAGAATCTGAATCTGACTCTGGACGATTGCGACAGGACCTCAACTTTCGAAGCATTCGACAAGGATAACGATCGAGGATATTGGTCCTAAATTGGTTGAAAGATTTAACGACAAAATGTATGTCTTTATTTTATCTCTAATGTTCAGGAGTGTGGTAATGGGTGAAGGTTGAGGTACTAATATAATTTGACTCGCCTTTATATATACAATATACATATACACTTTTTCAAATTTAACGTTTGATAAATGTTAATGAAATGCTCAATACTAGTGCTCATATAAAATACAACAATGCTAATGATAGGAGGGATTATTTCTAATAGTCGTAGATATTCATAGTTTAAACTTGTATATCGATGACTGATTTCTAAGATATTTATTTAATAGTAATCAGAATGCTCAGTTTTAATGTGGGGCTCAAATCTTTGACAAAATTCATTACTATTAGTCGATATATAAAAAATATTACTCAATTATCAAGCAAATGCTTTAATTATTAATGCTTTAATTAATGAATAGTAGCAAAAAAGTAATATACATTATATTAAGCGCTACTTATAAGCTTTCTACTAACACAAGGTGAGTGGTACATTTTCAATACTTTTTTGCATGTTGTTGTTTTTTTGAGATTCTCGATTGAAATTTGTGCAAGTCCTTTTGAATTCTTCTTTACCATCATATACAAGTATATTATGATATCAACTTTATAAATAACAATATATATTATTTGCTTACCATCGTAAACGAATTATTTTGACGCAATGTCGCAAAATATGAAAAATGTTTTTTTCTGTCCCTGTGCTTACAATTAGCTCTACCACGGATCACTAAATATTATTATAGCGGTAAGTCAAATGAATATTTATTCTCAAGTTTATTTTCTTCGAGAAAATCATATTCATTTGCATCAAATAATATAAAATCATATTTTTTTGTTGATTTTTTTGTGTTTTCTGAAAGGGACTTGACGGCACATAATGGGTACAGTAATTATTTAAAACACAATTTAATTAAGGTATTAGTAACAACTTTTTTTAAATGACGAAGACTTTCCTGAACCAATCCAATTCCCGGATAAAACAGATGTTATGGTAATGTTATATTACGGGTCTATATTCGTATGAATTGCAATTCACGAACTGCTAAGAAGCTATGTGTTTGCTGTGCGATTAGGCGTTTTACACATAAAATCTAACCTACAAAACAACAGCGTCAAGTAACATAATTTATCACAAGTGTATCTTTTTGATAACACATAGGTGAAGTTAGGTTTTATTTGTAAAACGCCTGATGGCAAATATATAGCTTTTTGACCATTTTTAATATCAAGTCATACGAATATAGACCCGTAATATAACATTCCTATTTTGTTCGAGAATTTTGGCCCTTGTAATTTTAGATTTTTATTTATTTTATTATTCTACATACGGCAATCCGATATCAAGCGGTAGTTATATCTATTTTCACCTAAGTATAGATCAAAATTATCATCGTACGGGGATTTTGTTATTATTGATTTTCTTATTACTGCTTTTGTAAACTAGCTAGTATAGGTAGTTTAGTTTAGTTTACTAAACTAAACTAGTATATCTAGCCATTTACAATTCTTTTGATTTTTTCTCATATCTTAATTTTTAAGCACTGTTTTTTAAATCTATATCAATTTATTTGAGTCGATATCAATTTATTTTTATATGCAAGTACACGACCGGGATTCGACCCGAGTACCCTTTATACCATTGCGGTATCAAACTGATCGCACAGCAAACACATAGCATTTGACAGTTTTTAGTACCATTTTATATGAAAAATGTAGCGTAACATTGCCTTGTCATAACATTGGTCTATCTTATGGCAGAATCGGCTCCTATATATCCTAAAAAACAGCTTATTTTTTCAAAGTTCGATGAATTATTAAAATTTAGTGTTTTAAATAGTTACAACATTTATATATTATTTAAGCATTGTATATATGATGTCATATGTGTGCATGACAGCTAGAAATAGAATATGCCTCTTGTAGAGTATTTTCAAGCAGATATGAAAAAAACTAGTAAATTAGATTATTAGATAATTAGATAGTAAAAATGATAGATTAGTATATTTTATTTATGTAACCTTTCAAAATCTGAATTTTTAAGAGTCTCCACGTAATTTTACACTTTTGATTTAAACTCAAAGCCTTTTGTCGAGGCAGACATGTGTTTCAATTTGTAAAATAACTGTAAAAAGTATTTAAGTTAAGTTTAAAAAAATAGAATACGCACATTTTATGTGTGAAAGCTCTGCCAAATGATGTGGTAGAATACTAAAATTGCCATTCTATATCACAATTCGCTCATATCACCATTAACAGTGCGCGTTTTGCCTGTAAATTCAATCACCAACAAAAAAACATTTTATTCAATCATATCAAATCACTTGCATTTGAATTTCACTTTATAAATTTCTTAATCACTTTTTTAATATTTTTTTTCTCAATTTTACTCAATTTCTATTATTTTAATATGCCGTTGTGATGGTTTCAGCAGCGACCGACCCGAACGCGTGGCGCCTGGGTCGTATAGAGGAAACAGACCACGAGACGCCGGTCTAATGCGGAAACTGACCAGACGCGACCATTGTGGCCAACGTTTACCGATCATTAGCTAATGGTAATGGATAGTAGTTGCGAAAAATTTGGGTTCATGATTGTTTTATGATTATTTTATAGATCTGGCTTTTTTTTACCGTCATACCATTTTATTTAATTTAAACAAATAACGATTGAATTAAAAACAAATTATTAAGACTAGTATTTTTAGATTCTTTTTTGACCTTAAGTGCAAGATCTGCTAGTTTATTAAACTCTAAATTAAGAATGTTTTCAGACTAATCTAGAACAGTTTTAGACTGGCCAGAACATTTTCAGACTTTCAAGAACATACTTAGACTAATCCAGAACATTTTCAGACTAACCAGAATTTTTTCGGACTAGTTGAGAACATTTTCGGACTGATCAGAACAATTTCAGATTAGTTCGGTACATTTTCAGACTAGTCCGGAACATCTGCAGACTAATCCAGAACATTTTTAGACCGGTCAGAACATTTTTATAAAATTAGTCTATATATAGTTTATAATATTAGTCTATAGACTAATATAGAACTTTTTCGGAGTAGTCCAGAACATCTTCAGACTGACAAGAACATTTTCAACTAATCCAGAGCATTATTAGACTGACCAGAACATTTTCAGACTTTCAACAACATACTTAGACTAATCTAGAACATTTTCAGAGTAGCCTAGAACATTTTTAGACTGATCAGATTATTTTGCGACTAATCCAGAACATTTTTAGACCGACCAGAGCATTTTTAAACTAATATAGAACATTTTTAGACCGACCAGAACATTCTCAGTCTAATCAAGGACATTTTCAGATTAACCAAAACATTATTAGACTAATCTAGAACATCTTCAGATTAATCTAGAACATTTTCAGATTAATCTAGAATATTTTTAGACTAATCTAGAATATTTTCAGACTAATCCAAAACATTTTCAGACTGACCAGGAAATTTTCAGACTATCTAGAACATTCTTAGATCAATCCAGATTATTTTCAGAGTGACCGGAACATTTTCAGATTAATCGAGAATATTTTCAGATTGACCAGAAAATTCTCAAACTATTGACCATTCAATACTTGTTCAAACTGGCCAGAACATTTTCAGACAAATCTAGAACATTTTCAGACTAATCTAGAACATCTTCAGACTGACTAGGATATCGTAAGACTGATCAGGACATCTTTAGACTGGCCAGGACATCTTCAGACTGATCTAGAACATCTTCAGACTGACCAGAATATTTTCAGACTAGTCCAAAATATTTTTACACTTATCTAGAATATTTTGCACTTATCTAGAATATTTTTAGACTATCTAGAACGTTTTCAGACTAAGAGCGGGGTATTAAGTTTACATTACATATTTCTTTTAATAACTATTAGTTAATGATCGGTGTTATACAAAACCAGTGTGATATAAGTTTAGATTCGGTGGCAGCCACCTCGAAAAAATAATTACAAAAAAGTATTGAACATGTTCCATGAGCCTTCCTAGAACTTATTATATAAAAGTCATGTATATGTATTATCTTGTATATAGCGTTCCATGGGCATATATCCATAATTGAAAGTAATTTTTATGCTAAGTTATCCAATAATACTCTTTCGTTTTAAACAGGAGCACTCGAGATACTTTCTGGATATCAACAATTAGAAAACAATTGCGACAATTTAAATGTGAAAGGATAAATTATATCAGATATTAAATTGAATCATTATGTTTTATTTTTCAATTTTTATTGATATATAAATATATTCTATATTTTTTTGCCAATTCTTATGAATACTATTATTGCCAATGCTTATCTTGCCTATTATGTAATGATTTGATTGATAACACAAATTTACCATTCATGAAAAATAATTTTACAAAGAAAATGAAATCTTACTCATGATCTGATATCCCGATGATGAAAGTCACTTGTGTGCTCTTTTTATAGATGTATTTATTAATTTTAGTAATCAAGGCAGTCTATACAATGGAATCAATTAAAGTTCAAAACGATTTAATCATCGTCAATAATTTGACCAGATTTTGTGTTTAGTCAGATTGACGATGATTGTAAGTTTTGGACTAAATTGATCCTTTTGTACGTAGTTGTCTTTTGACCTAATAATTACTCATGTTGCCTATTTATTTAAACATTAGGGTAATTCGATTCAGTTTTTGTTTTGGTTAAAAAGATTTATTATTCTAGTCTAAATTAGAAAAAAAAGTAATATAGCTTTTGGAAAAATACTTAATTTTTAAATAGCACTAATGAAAAATATTATCAGGATAATCTAAAACATTTTTAGACTACTCAGTATATATTTTCAGTCTAACCAAAATATTTTCAGGCCGGTCTAGAACATCCTTAGAATAATCTAGAATATTTTTAGACTATCTAGAAAATTTTCTGACTATCCAGAGCATTTTGAGAATAATCTAGAATATTTTCAGACAAATCTAAAACGTTTTCATACTACTCTGAATATTTTTGGTCTAACCAAATATTTTCAGGCTAATCTAAAAATCTTCAGGATATTCTAGAATATTTTTAGATTATTCAGAACATTTTTTGAATGTCCAGACAGAACATTTTGAGAATAATCTAGAATAATTTCAGACTTATCTAAAACATGTTTAGACTGACCAGAATATTTTCAGGCTAATCCAGATTATTTTCTGTCTATCTAGAACATTATTAGATTAATCTAGAAAATTTTTAGACTAATCTGGAATAATTTCAGACTGACCAGAACGTTTTCAGACTATTCAAAACATTTTCAGACTAATCTAGAACGTTTTGAGAATAATTTAAAATATTTTGACTAATCTAGAAAATTTTCAGATTTATCTAGAACAATTTCAGACTAATCTAGAACCTTTTCAGACTAGTCAAAACATTTTCAGACTAATCTACAACATGTTTAGACTGACCAGAATATTTTCAGGCTAATCCAGAACATTTTTAGGATAATCTAGAATATTTTCAGTCTATCCAGAAAATTTTCGGATTACGTAAGACATTTTTAGATTATCCAGAACTTTTTCAGAATGATCTAGGACGTTTTCATACTATTCAGAACTTTATCAAACCAATCTAGAACACATTTATCCCAACCAATTATAAATAAATATTTTTTCAATGTTTTTAGAGAAGTAAATAATCCAGTTGTAATTAAAGTAAAAATTCTTTTAATCAAATTATGAATTACCCTAATAATAAAAATAATTTGCAATTTTATTATTTTCAAAACCACATTAGATATAATATTAGCCATACATGCACTCTAATCATTCTTTAAAGTGTTTTAAAGTTACTTTTGTCTTACCATTAATTTGTTTGTGATACATTTATGTGTATAATGTAGTTTTATATTAAAATACCACTTACAAATAGTCTGCTAATTTAAGATATAAAATTTAAAAAAAAATAACATTCCACATGAGGAACAATTTAGCTAACAATTACAAAAAATCCAGTGATTATTTTAAGCAAACGCTTTTTGTGATGAGTTGATAAAAATAAATTGATTAAAAAATATTTGTAACATAAAGTTTAGGCACTTTATTATACAATATTGATTATACAGTTTTTTGAGCAGCTTGATAATATTTTGATTAACTCTTGTTCACATCGTTAGATTTTTAAAAGCCTGAAATTATAATACAGTAATGAAAAAATCTCCACCTGTTATTTTGATTAGAAATAATATTCACAGAAAAATGCAATATATTCCTAACGCTTCAAGCTTGTGTTCAAAAAAATAATAATTCTGTTCCTATATCCATTACAATATTCTCCTTTACATTACCGTCATAAAATTATTTTCAGTATGTTGGATGTGATAAATTATTATCAAAAAGGTTTTAAATGTAAATGTATATAGCAAAAAATAAATATATATATATACATCATCCGTTAAATGTCTGAATATAGATGATATATTAAATGTTGAAAATTTATGATACGAAAGGAGATTATTCTATGTATATTGTTAACATTGAGATATTGTAAAAATGCAAATCTGGAATAAAAGCTATATCGTTACAGTTGACTTGATATATATTATCTGTGTAAAAATATTACAGCCAATGTAATAATAGAGATACTTAAATATAATCTAAAAATACATATTTAAAATTACAAACGGTATATAGAATGGATATATATATATATATATATATATATATATATATATATATATATATACTTTAAAACCCTTCACAAACCCTTCAGTTTAAAATTAATTTCAGTAATCTCATTTTATCTTTTAACACAATAATGACTTTAAATTGTGACTTCATATACAGCAGTTTATAAAACTTGTCACATTTCTATTCCTAGTTTATTTTTAGTGTATGTTTAATTGCAACACCTTGATTCAAGTGATAAATGTGGTAAGCGATATTGCAATACTCGTAAAAAATTAAAATACTCTGTTAAACAGATCATATGACTAACTTACAATATGTAAAAACAACCTTAAGCCATACTTTCAATATAAAAAGTTAAGTATATTTAAGGCCAAGTTATTTTCTGACGTTTGCGTTTTATGTTTGTAACATCACCCTGTAAGAAAAGATATCATGAATATTTCATCATAAACAACCAAAAAATAGTTTCCAGAATGACGATCATATCATTGTTAAATTTTTGCTGAACAAATGAGTAGTTGCACTTATTAACATTTTTATATATTTATGAATATTATTACTCACTTCACTGAGACCATGGCCATTACGTTTTCTCGATTCTTTATTATTACTTTCAAAATGGTCTACTTTTAGTTTCTTTGTTACGTGATTATTATCATTTGCATTATCATGTTTGTGACTAGTTTCTGCATTTGATTTAGTTCTTTGCGGCAACGGTAAGACATATGATTTGTATATGACTATCAATTCTTCTCTTGATAAGGAATTTAGATTTTTCAGTTTTAACTGCCTCTAAAGAAAATAGCAGAAGATATTGACGATATTAAATTAAAATTTAATTAAAAGGGATATCCTTATTATAGATTATAGATATTTTATTTATTACATCTTTGTAGTAGAATAATAAATAATTGGTGTTTCTTTGTAAATTTTTGGGTGGAGGGAGAGGTAATGAAATTAATATTGAAGTTATTTAATATATATTTAGAACCAAAGTCATTTTTGCAAGGCACATAGAATTTAAGGTGCACTGCAGATGAAAACACTTATTGTACTTTACGTTTATAGCTAAAGAAATCCATAGTGGATTTTGAAAGTATTGATACTCAATGAGCGTAACCCCTTAAACACATACAACATACAATACAGACTTCCTGATACATATTTGATTTTTTTTCGAAAACCTATCAAGAATATGATTATGAATATATAATATATTAAATAATGAGTCTATAAATTACATTACAAGTCTTAACCCGTATGAGCATATTCTACAGTACAGCAATTTACTATTACAATACCTCAGTCAAAACTTGTATAATTGTATCCCTATCTAACAGCTCAGGCTGAAGACAAATGGGGTACTCGTTAGATGTTCTCTCCATTTTTCTTGATTCTTGTGAATGTGATCAACCATTCAAATTCAATGCATGTTGATATATAAAACAAACGCAAATGATATAAAAAGTCATATATTGATTATCATTAGCTTTATCTACGAATCACCGTTATTCATTAAACTATTGATAACGATTAAACCAATCCCCGTTTAATGTTTGTTTATTATCTCTACATTTAAAAACATTCATAACCTAGAAATTTATGACCCTGTATCGTTTTTCTGACAGTTTCCCTTGGCGAAGGTCAGTGTCATCTGTGTATGAAAAACTGTAACTACTTATTGACAACCTTCAAGGTGATCAACTTAGAGAAATGAAATAAAAGTAATGGCAAAAATGAAAGTGACTTCCCTTTCTAGTTATAATTTATTTCCTTATTCTGATTAGATCGAATTAAATATTTATCTTAACCGCTTATATTACAATGGCTTGATGTTGAGTTCCATTATCACTAATCGAACGCAGTCAATAATGGGACTTGTATAAATGTTTATATTTAAACAACTTTTGTGTTTCAGGAATTTATGCATTACGTCAATTGAACTGCAATAGTCAACATTTAAATGCAATGTTTTGATTTCTTATTACGTGTTATTTACTTATACGTCTTGTACTAAATTAAAGAAACATTTCAAGATAATGATTCTTACAACTTACAATACTGCTAATACATTCTTATCTATGTTTTATGTTCTCTTATCTATCTGCAAATATAATAAATGAATGTTTTTGCAAGGCGTATATTTTATCAGTATTTAAATTTATCACAATCAGTAAAAGAATATTGCAAAATAATGATATTTTAATTAATTTTAGGAATGATATGTATGTAAAACTGGAAGTTGTAGATTTATAAAAGATCAGATAAATATATTTTTATTAAAATTTACTTTTTAATTGTCCTTTGTAGATAAATCTTAAAATGAAATATTTCTATAGATATTAGAAGATAGTTTGATACTCATCGCGAATTTTAATAAGAAGAGACTGAATAAAAAACGTTAGTAAGTGCAATTAATTCAGTAATTTACTTGTAATATTGCTAATTTTAATTAAAGAAAGAGTATTGGAACGATTGGAACCCTGTGTAGCTCTTCTAAAACAGAGCGTAGAATAAAATATATGTATTTTAAGAATTTATTCTTGTCTGAGCGTTTACCACAAATATTGGAATCGTTTTTCATATATTTGTATTTCTCCTCTCCTTTTCGATCGTGCTCTCCGCCGCCACTCGCCGATGTCGAGATGTCGATTTTTCGTTCCAACAGGTTGCCGATCCTTTTTAGTGCGAACGCCATTGTTGTAAAGCGTTACTTGTGGTGTTGTGTGTTGATTTAATTGTTTTTATGTGTTTATTGTGATGTTTCATTTAGATTTTGCATTTAAAGTAGTCATAAGTGAATAGTAGTGCAAATGCATAATTAAACTCAGCTCCCCGGACTTGGTGCGATCTCATTTTCGATATGTATTGACTGACAGTCCAAATGTGCCCGAATCCCGCCTTGTGGGTTATTGATTGCAAGCGGCGCACTTCACACTGCCTGTCGTAGTTGACTGCAATCGCGTGAGCTGGTACAAAATACGTAGCGGCCATGTTTTTTGTGTCTCAGGTCTTGTAGACTGCATGGGGTGTTTTACATCACCCAATTCATTCAGGTGAGTTGAATACGCTTTAATTGACATTCGAAACGTTTCTTCTGCCATTATCTATACGACAAGGATATTTTTCACCGACGTGCACCTTTCGAAAGATGTTACATTCGCATATGCAATAAACTGCCTATATGGCGCAATCTTAGGTGTCCGTTCGAAACGATTGACAAAATCAACAAGGTTATTCGAATTTTGCATTGTTTATTGGTGTCCAATATATCTCGATGCGTTTTACGGGTATGTGTTGTGATTTTCAAGTGAATCGTGAGTTATTTATAAGTTTTTAGCATTGCACTTTCTTAAGCCAGTCTAGTTGAACTGCGTTATAGAATAAAATACAGCGTATTTGACAATAAGTCGTTTGTTTATTGCGCACCACGGAGATATTAAAATTTCTTTGTTTGTGTACATTTTCGACAATGAGTCAATTCAAGTGATTCATTTTATGATGAGCCCAGTGATAAGTCTATTTATTTTTGAGATCGATTTCGAAAATTTTTTGTTTACTGGAGATAACTGGTGATGAGATGTATGTATGGATGACGTTTTATAATAATTTTTGCCAGTCATTCGCTTTTCCTTTCTAAGAAAGAAGTGCTAATTTTTCAAAGAAAAAAAATATGAAAAACTTTAATATAACAATTAATATCTCCTGATTGCTGTACGTTTTTATCTAAAATAATGTTTTTATCTAAATGTATCATGTTTGAATAATTTCAAATTATGTTTTCATTGTCTCTTGTCAGTTTGAACTGTACTGTATTTATACACTTATATATTTTAAATAACCTTATAAATGTTTTGTTGATGGTGGCTTGAATAATAAATCAATATTATGAATACTTCTAACATTCCATTCGATGGAGCTTTGTGTTATCAAGCAAAGCTGTAATTAATATAAATGTTGCAGCAAATTTTGTAATAAAAAAATTGTTTAAGGTCTATTCCCTTTTGATTGAATATATAATAAATTTTGTGATTTGTAGTCATGTGTTATGAAATAATAATTTTAATTATCTGTGTCGTTTTTTTCAGTCCTGCAATGGAAATGAATGGATACGATTCACCCGCTTCAGAAATGAAGTAAAGAGCATTATGTTTTGAAGCAGAATAATTGTCAACCTTTACGGTTACCAATTAAGATCATTTTAAAATGTTTTATTCAATTTTAAAGTAATACTTATAATTTACCAAAACATCAATTTTATCTGAAATCATATTATAATATTTTTAAGTTATTCTTAGCAATAGTAACATTGCTGTAGTTCTTAATTATACTATTGTGTCAAAGTAAATTTAAAAGTAAAATTAGAAGCTTATTTGCATAACCAATTTAATCGTATATATTATAATATATTTAATTGTGCAATTTGATCTTGTATAAGAAATATTTTTTAAGCAAAATAAAACAATTGACAAACTGCTTATTATAATGCTCGTGAACACATCAAATTTGCATTTGTAATCCTGAATGGACAACCTATGTTGAGGTAAGAGATTTTATAATTAATTCATTTAGTGCTGTAGATTTCTTTACGTTGTGATTTATTAAAAGTAATCATCAAAATTACTATGCGCTGTCATTTACTAAACTTCAAATTTTAAGGCAGAATTGTTTAGACTTTATTTAATTGGCTATAAGTATTATTTATAAAAAAAACTATAACTACAATCACATTAACATTCCTAAGAGAGCCCACACATTTTTTATTTAAATTAAATGCTTGAAGTGTGTAAGTGTGCATGTGTGTTTTTTTCATAGCACATATTTTTATGCATGTTGTGTTTGTAGCCTGTTATGAAGTACCCGCAGCTGGTATCTGGCCGGACAGTGTCTGGCATCGGAGGCTGGTTATCCACTGAACTTGATTCACACGGTTTAGACGGCCGAGTCTACGCTAGACTTGTGCTGTCTCTTCTACATGCACCAGTCGAATTCAACCCAAGAGATCTACGAGAGGCAACTAGTGCTATTGAGGTAATTGTTAATTGATTATATTTTTTTATATTTAACAGCATCCTTACCTAAATATAACACTAATTTGACTATTTTATTATGCTAACTTGTTACTTCAAATTAAATTTGTTTATTGTTAATTAATATTGCTTGAATATTTTCATTAACGTATTTCTCTTTTATTTAGAATAAGAAGAATAGGAAAAGCACACAAGTTGTAGAGGAAGATTGCTTGTGGTTTGAAACAAATCACGGTCTGTGGACTTCTGAACAAGCTAAACGCTACGCTGCTGTAGAATGTCTCAAATCAGCTTCTGAACAGGTGAATAATTTAGATTAGTTTATAAATTGACTGGCATTTATATACTTACAATTACACTACATTATAATTCAGAATGTGAACTATTATCCGTTTTTTTTATTCCTGTCTGCATAATTTTTGCATCTAACATGGAAATTTCTTTAATTATGAACATTTATATATAAAATTGTATATAAGACATTATTATCCTCTTTCACACAATGGACAGAACACAATTCAAAGTATCACAAAAACATACTATTGTTTTGATTTAGAATTACTTGCTTAACAGAAGGCTGGAATTGAAAGCTTAGTTGATGAGCTTTGTGCAAAGCTTCGCGAGATCGAAAACGAACAATCTCCCGAAAAAGATTTTCAACAAGCAAACTCAACAGAAAATAATGCTAAACGCTGTGAAAATCCTGTCGAACTGGCCAATAAATATTATGCTGCATTTCCTGCATTATCTGGTAAGTGATAAAGGTTGTAAATTCAACATTATTACTTTAGTTAAAATCTTAGGTGAATTAATTTGTAAAATTTAGTTCATATGGCATAGTTCAATCTAAGATCATGAACTTGCTTAATATTTCATATGCAATGCCAAACAAATGAATTGACACATGTATCAAAATTCTAAATCATTTTTTCAATAAGTAGAAATATTTTTTTTAGTTTTTAAATAATTTAGTAAAGAAAAGCAAAATACAACATGCATAACTTTAAAAAAATAATGTATATGCAATTTTGGACGTATTGTGTTATTTATTAAACTAAATTATATAATTTCATCTGGCAAACATATACTGTTGACTGTATTTATATTATTTTAATCTCTGACACATCTCAGCTACTTTTCGGCAATAATAATGTAGACATTCATTTTTCTTATTCATAATCATGAATTTATTATACATATTCTAATATTGTCTAGACTCATAAGTAAATTGAAATTTTTAGCAGTTAATAGTTTTCATTTGTTTTCAATGCCAAACAATGTCTCAAATATTTTCAATATCAAACAATGACATGTTGTTTTTTGCAATTTTGTCCATTTATTTCTACAATATTACTATAATTTTATAATCACATACATCCTAAAAAAACCCTTAACAAACTTCAGAAAGATTTATCAAAATCCAAATAATCGTTTAGGAGGAGTATTTTTACATACATTACAGAAAAATTTTATATATGATATATATATATATATATATATATATATATATATTTACCTCTATTATATCTATTAAATTTTCTTTTTCATAGGAATAAATCAAGAAGAAAAAACTGTATCATTTTACCCCTCTGAACCATCAGCTTGGTTGACCAAATCTACAATAACAGCTACCACTCCTTCAGAAAAGTCAACTAAAAGATACAACAATAAAAGAAAATCATTTAGAAAACGCAATAAGATGTGGAAAGAAACAGATACTGATCGCAAACAGCAGAATGTCAAGGCAATCAGAAACCGGGCTGAGTTGGGCAAGAAGGCCAAAAATAGAATACATGGCCGACCTTCTGATGTCTGGGACACTGATTGGGAGCTTGGCAACGAGGAGCTTTTGCGAGAATACATTAACAATCAATGCGATAGCAAAGATGAAGGTTATGACACGCCCATAAAATGTGATGAAAAGGATTTGGATGATGTTTGTTTCAACCGGGAGTGGATTTATGAATATGAACTGAACAGCAAAAAATGTGAAAGACCAGAAACAGTCATAGATGAGATAAATATGGCCAAATTCAAAGCAAAATTTAATGAAAGTGTGGAAGCTTTATGGAATGATAAGCCTGCTGATACATCCATCGATGAGTTAAACTTACCAGTTGATTTCCAAGATTTACTCTCATCTCCAAGTGACACCATGTTTGGTGATGTAGTTGATGGTAAAGCCAAAAAGCTTCCCAGGAGTAGTGGTCGTTTCATGAAGAACTCAATCTGGTCTGAAAATTTTAATGAAGATGAAACAGACTGCATGCTTAATGAGAAGAGTTTTTATCCGAGAGCAAGTGCAGCATCTGATGAGTACAAACATCAGTTGGAACTTGTTCGGTCATGTTGGGAAAATTCAGATATGGAAACAAAGAACATTAAAAGTGAATGCAGTAGCATGCCGTGGCAGTCTAATTTCTCAAGTAGCTCAGATCTCAATGCAAAATCTGGCAAATGGTCAGATGTTATATCACAGAATTTTCTGAACACTCCCTATCGCATATTGAATCACAGCAAACACTTGAGCAGCTTTAGTGAGGTAGTGCCTAAAGCTAACACCAGCGAGTGGCCTGCACAAGTGATAATTGACAGATTTGCCATGGTACAAAAGTCATACACTCTGTCAAATTCCTCAGTTCCTGTAAGCGCTACTAAAGTTCCAGATAATCCTGAGGATGATTTGTTAACATCTCCCAAAACTCATTTTCGTCCCATAAAAGAAGATGGCTATGCTGATGGAACCACTTTTGCTATTTCAAGTGCTATTGACACTGTCAACTACAAACTTTGTGAAGATGGATTGTTAGCAATCACTTCTGACACACAATCAAAACGTTACATGGTGTACAAGCAAAACGGGATAATGAATAATTTGGAAAATTGCATTAAAGATGAGTTTATTGTTAAATTTTGTGTGCAACAAATCTCAAAGGCCTGTCAAACTGATGAATTGATGTTTGATCTTTTGCACATGGCAAATATTAGTGAGGAAAGTACACATGGAATAGATTCGTGCTGTTGCTATTGTGATATTGAAAATGCTGGGAAGAATATGGCTGGTATGCAGTATATGAAAACTGGACAAATGGATTATGATATTTTTGATAAAGAGGTAAGTTAAATCATCACATTATTTATTATTTATAATTGCCACTGAAATTTGTTATTTCTAATAACACAACTTTTTGATTATCACAATAGTTTCAAATAATATAATTTTTTATTATTTCTAGATTCAACAATTGGGTGCGAGAAAGTGGTGTACAAAATGCTCTCCCACTGTAACTTCACATAACAACAACAACATCTGGAACTCGAATTGGCTTCCTGACAAACAAATATCAACCATTGACAGTTCAACCAATACATCCATGGACTGCGATAAGGTGTCAACTGATCCATTGCTTCGAATATGGTCGAATGATGAAAAACAGTGTCTGTCTTGCGATAACAACAATCTAGTTAGCGATATACATGAACTGAAATCAGAATTGCGCAAGGATGGCGAAGAAATTCTAAGTGATTTGAGTTACATGCAAAGCTTATACATCGGCTCTGAATGGGATGAAGATGAACAAGATCACACCATCGATACGGACAATGTAGCCATGGAGTCCGAGACTCCATTTGATGTGAATAAATTGATCTCAAATTTCATAAAGCCAGGAGATGTATTGAACTTACTGAAGAATGGAGCTGTAATACAACCTTTAGCAAAGGATGGAACTGTGATCAGCTGTCAACCGACAAAAAGTGACAGAAAACGAAGGCATTCTTCAACAACCAGAAATCATATTGAAACATCTGGTGAGTGTAAGAAACCCCATTGTAAATTCTCTCATGAGATCACTTCGATGCCGTGCCAGTTGTGGGCTGACAATTCTTGTCAACCTGATGGTTTATGTCCATACCAGCACACATCGGCTTACGCAAGACCATTGACACGTTAATTGATTTTTCTTTCACAATGAGAACTTTAAAATGACTTTTTTGTGTCAAGTACAGCTCTATTCAGCTGTATCATGATTGCTAAACTATATTTCAGTTGGAAAATGAATAAGAATTTGATCTTGACACTTTTGAAATGGAAGTTATTAAAAAACCTTTTATTTTTGTTATGGAAAATCAAATTTTCTAAATTAAAATTAGTTGAATTTATTTTTTGTTACTAAATTTAGTGCCAGATTTTTATTTTTAGATTTTTTAAATTTTACTTTTTTGGATGACCATTTATATTATGTTGTTGGAAAGTAAATTATTCAGAAATGTGCTTGAAAACGTACTCTAGATTTAGATAAAAGATTTAATATTTTGATTATTCATGAAGAAAATTTGTTTGTGAAAGTCAGAAGAATGGCGATTTAATATATTTTTGTTTTTAAACTCTTATGCACACGCGTGTGCTTAATATAATAGTCTATTGAATATGAAGCTGAGGCAAGTTTAGTACCAAAATAATTATTTTATATAAGTTGGTTACCATTATTATATAATAACATAGAGAAATATTTGATATCGTATTTATATTACTACGTAAGATTTTATTTAGGTGTATATAAATATACAAAGAAAACAAATGAATCACATTTCTGCATAATTATATACTTTTTGACTATTTTTTAAGTCATCATCGGGTGTCCTTTTTAAAGTTCTCATTTGTAATGATATTTTCGTCTTGCATTAATTTTTGAAGAAATGTTCCATGCAAAACGGCTGACGGATGATGATATACGTTTTTTTTTGTCTATTGCTGTTAAATAAGAAAGAATGTGTTTTTAGTTCATTTTGTTATTGTTATTAGGTATTGGAATGAATGTGAGTTTTTTTTAATACTTCATCAGTTGTTTTGTGCTTTAGTGGATTATGGAAGACAAAGTTGTTAAAAATTTTGTTGCTTTGATAACAATAATAGTTTTCATAATAATATATACAGTAATATCCTAATCTTTTTTCAAACACTTTTGAAAGTTTTTTTTTTGGAAATTAGTACTATGTTTTTAGTTAATTACTTTAGATCTTTATTAGATAGACTTAAGTTCTGTTTATTAAACTATTCCTTCAACATTTTTATATTCATCTTATCAAAGCGAGTTTGGTTTGTTTATTTGTATATTATTCATTGTTAAGTGGGTATTACTCTATATATTATAATAGGGCACTTGGCAAAAATGAATTATCATAATTTTTTCATGAACTAAATGTTCTTTACTATCAAGCAGGTCCACTTCTGCACCTGATGAGGTATTTGTTTATAAAGTTTTGTACATACATTTTGAAAGTGTTTCATATACACACAAAAAACTTATACCATATACAATTCATAATTCTTGTAATACTTGTGAGTGTGTATGTTAATGAATGTAAATATAAATATATATAAATGTTATTTCTATGAAAAAACTAAAATTTAGTTAGCTCTCGTAGTGAAAAAAAAATTCCTGATGCTTGAATATGTATTTTAAGAAAGCACTGGGTTTTAACTAAACAAAGCGCGATTTTTGTATTTAAAACTATTTATTTTATGTCAAGCGATCCGGTCAGTCGTAATATGCTTTGGGATGCAACATTATTTTTATTAACAATGAATGTTATTTATTTACTTTAGAAAAAATATTTTTAGCTTATCGTTTTGAATAGCCATTTGTTTTCTTGGCGTTTGGAATTTGAAAACTTTTCGTTCTCCCAAATATAAAAACGGGATGTTCTTAATTTAAAATCATTTTAATAGATCAATTTATTATTGTATGCAACAATATGTAAGCGTTGGTATCGTAGAAGATTTGTTTGTTGTCATAGTTTTTTATATTCAATATTCAGTAGGAATACTTTTAGTAGGAAATAACAGTGGCGCCCCGACACACGAGTTAATTGAACAAGTTTAACTTGGATATTTTTGGTAATTTTGTCTTTTTTGACTAATTACTGGAGAATCTTTCAACTTTTTTTTTTGACTTACGACATTTTTGGGATTACTATTTGAAACTTGTTTGGAACCAGGAATATTTCACATTGCTGAACTTTG